ACAAATTTCACTGCTATGGGGGAAAGGTGGAGCAGAGGACACTACTGTGGTGGGTGATGTGAAGGGGCGGTAGAGGACACTGCTCTACCATTAGTGTCGTTCTTCCTCCCCCCCCCCCAATCCTTCCCTCCCATAGTAGTGTCCTCTGCTCTCTTAAAAAAGAAGTATGGGATTTGTTTTTTTTTGTTCTTTGTTTTGTTTTAGAAAAATACTGACCTAGGTGGGTGCAGCATGGTCTGATGCTGCATCTGTCCCCCACTGGCTGTAAGTGTGAGAAATCCGCAATCACATGACTGCTGTTCACTGAGTTTCATAGCCGCTCTGAGCAGAGTGGTGACTGTCAGTTTCTCCAAACAGAAGGCGTCTTCAAGCTGTTATTGCCAACAAAGGATTTTGTATGAAGTATTAAGTAAATTTCAGTTTGTATGTTCAATACTTTTTCCCTGTGTCATTTCATTTTATTACACACAACTTCATTTCTGAATTTGTTTTGATTTCTTTGTATGTATGGATTGCAAGGGTTGTTACTGACATGTGGTAAAAATTCCATGTCCATAGCACCTTTAGAAATATATTTACAGAGAAAAATGGTGACGTGTTCAATACCTATTTTACCTGCTCTACATCTCCCAAACTTTAGTTTACTATTTCTGATCTTATTGGCACTCATGCCTTGATTTAGCATAGCCTTCGTCGGCTTTGAAAAAGATCACCAGTCTTGGTTCCCTAAAAATACCTCATCCTAAAAGCTTCCCTGTGTGATTGCCTATACAGCTTGTATTGTACAGTCACTGGCCTCATCCTGAAAAGATTTTTGCCTCTCCCAAGCGTTTTGCTCAGCAATATTCTATTGAAGAGGGGTTCCTGAAGACATGGGCTGTCCTAGTTCTAGACCCAGCCATTTCCTGTCTTAAAACTTTAAGAGTCCCTGTTGAAAGAGTTCCAATATTCAAGTACCTTGTGGATAAACATTTAGAAGCCCTTTCCAAGACCTTGTTCACCCTTGCAGGCTCTGTTACGCCACCTGCCATTGCAACCTTGTTCGTCTGGTAGATTCTAGCTGTCTGAAGACCATGGCTTGGTACCCTGCATCCATACCAATGGATCCCTCTGTTTTCCATCAACTGGAGCTCTTGCCTGTTCTGATGGACTAGCAGATAAACTTTCAGGTATTGAGGTTGTGCCTCCTTTTGGTACATGTGAGGAGCAGCCATTGACTCAAATGTATGTCTACAGAGCTTTTGTGCAAAAAGCATCTTGTGCAGATGCCCTTTGAAGGGGAACAACTTTTTGATGAATCCTTGATCACTTCTATCAAGGAAGCCATGGGGAAGAATATCTTTTTGCTCCTGGAAATTAAGGTAAACGTTCCAGCAGATTCTTTTTGGATTTCTTGGGGTCCAAGTCCAAGCACTCAACTCCACCGTATGACCTGCGTCCCCAAACCTGTTAAGTCCCGAAAAAGAAATCTTCCTCCATTTGAGGGATGACCCCACTTGGGGACCTTCACAGCCATCTGGTCCCAGAAAATTTCAGATGCTCGGGTCCAGAACGTCATATGCAGGACCTAAAACACTAGAATATAGATTTGTTTCAGATGTCAAACTTGTCAATGTTTCCGCAAAGGTCCAAGCCAGTGCTGTGTAACTATTTGGCTGGAGGCTTGTCAAAAGACTTTGCAGTGTTGAAAGTGGTCCAGCGAGACTACCAAATTGCCCTAAGCTCCAGAATAATGATAGAAAGCAGACCTTCTTCAAACAACCAAGTCCCTGTGTTTTTTTTTTTTTTTTGTTAATATTAGATATATATATTTAAACCAAGGCTTGCTGGGGGTGGGAGGGGTTATACACAACTTTCTTTACAGCTTTGTTATTGTCTAATCTCCTGAAGGCAGCTACGCATACCATTAATTCCAGAATACCATTCCTGTGTCCTGAAATGTACTCCAAGTAAAGCATTTTATAAGAAAGACCAAAATGCTGCTCTTATATAAACTTATACACTGTTTTCCCTATATACCAAGAGATTAGTTCTTTATTTCACACAAGTGAAACGTTTAGTTGGAAGTGGACTGCTCTTTAAACATGACACTTGGAGTGACCTCATAGGTTTCTGTGCTGACTTTGCCCTTAGGATTTTGCTTTTCAGTATATCACTTGCCAAGTAAATTAAATTTTTTTTTTTCCTCTGTTTTCAAAATTAAAAAAAAAATGGTTTTAGTGTGTAAATGTTTCTATATTATACACCAGGGGTATGGAATTTAAAAAAAAAAAAACAAACTACTTGTCCAAGGACTAAATCGGTGTCCCAATCTACTTGTCCTGATAGGAAAAAAACAATTCTAACCAAAGCCGTATTTAAGTCTGAGGTGCTTTTATGAATATCTGGGGCTTTTAAAAATGAAAGGGGCTTTATGGCAACTTAAACGTTTAATGCTTTTAACACTGCGCTGTTTATCTCCTACTCACCTCCCTGCCTGTCTTCAGCACTGCATCGGGGGACATGCAGGGTGGGGAGCGACCCTTGCAGTGTGATGAACACCGATTGGGTGCTCATCAGTATAGGGGAGTGTTGGGCTCTCTTAATGCTCAGATCTAAGCGTATCTGCTGAGTTAGTAAATAAGGTGCTGGCCGCAATGAGAGAAAAACATGTTATTCCCTTGGGTTACCCTCGCACACGGAAATATTTATGTGCTTGCATGAATACACTTGGGTGCCAAATTGGCCTGTGGTGTCCGATGTGTTAAAGGATAAGTTTACCTTTTAAAAAATAAATAAATGGCCATTTTTTGCAGGTAAAAAATGCACATTTATTTATTTTTTATATAACTTTTTTAGGAGCCTTTAAAGCATTGTATCAGCGATCAGAAGATCACTGGTGCCATGCAGGACTCCTACAGACTGTCAATGTAATCTGTCTGCCTGTACATCATACAGGCAAGCAATTTCACACTGACAGAATCCATGAACTAACAGTGCTGTGGTAATTCATTGAGATGTACAAGCTGATATCCACAAAGGATGTTGGTACTCATAGTTGATTCATTCACAGAACTCTGTGAATGGATGATGCGGCCATGTAGGCAGAGCCACACACAGCTACGCTCTTAGAAAAATGACAGCTGGTATGGGGATCTTCTCCCCGTACTGCTGTCACACAGAGGCAGCGGATCGCCGAGCCACTGCAGGAGCATGAACACGTTACATGTTCCACCCTAAAAACAGGTGGAACATGTAACCTTTTCCTGAAGGTGAACTTATCCTTTATCCCTTTTGCTGCCAAAGCCCTTTTTGTGTACACATATAAAAAATAATTTTAGGCCTGAAGGTTACATAATTACCCAAAATCATTATTTTCTGAAACATATAGGATAAGTGCAGTGCTAAATATAATCCGGACAAATGTATGGTAGCAATGTTCATAAATGGGTTAATAGTCCACAATACAGGAGCTCAAAGGTGATATACTATTCCCACAGTCGTAGCTTTTGTAAGACTCGGTGAGGGGCAGGGTATGTATAAAATGCGCACTCACCGGACACGCAAAGGAAATGCGCAATGTATCAACAAAACGGAGGTCTGCCAAGGGGTCCCTTTCAGGATACGAACAGTCCGCCCAGGATAGATGAACATCATCTGGATATATACTCTCAAACCGGAGGTCCACTTTAAGGACAGGGGTGCAGCCTTTCAGTACAGTGGAATAGTCACCAGGGGGAGCTCTGGGGGATTAAATGCTCAATACAGAGCAAGAGATGGAAACACCCATAGTGTAGTATTGTCAGAAATATTTAATGAAGGATGTTATAAAGCAGCAGAAATATATATCCTCATACATGTAAATGCTGTACGCCAAATATGTTGCAAGATGTTGTGTCAAAAAACAATAGGCGGGAATGAGTATTGCAGCAACAAGCTGCTGTGAGCACTAACCAGCTGGTGATCAAATGGGGCCACCGGATCTCCGTGACCCGCCGGCGTGATGTCAAAGCTTGCAGGCTCCTCCAAGACACGTGCAGTTAGTTCCGCTGTGGACATTTTGCGCATGCGCGGTGCGCTCTGGTCTTCGCAAGATGGTGGCCGTTTATAGGCAAAATGGCATTTTACACTATAAATAGCACACGACGTCTAGCTGCATGGCACACCCCTTCTGAAGACATACCAGTGTACGAAACACGTCTTGGAGGAGCCTGCAAGCTTTGACATCACACCGCCGGGCCACGGAGATCCGGCGGCCCCATTTGACGTGTCCACTCAGCTCCTTCCGCCTACTGCTGGAACTTGCAGTATCGATCCTGGGTCCCAGATGGGCAGGCGGAGCCCAGGGTACATGAGGAAAGGGGGGGCACGCACAGGGGCCAAAAAAAAAAAAAAAAGAAACCTGCTGCTTGCCCGAGGAGAAAAAGCATCTGCCTGGCTCCCAGATCTACATGTCCAGGGCGTCGGGTGATACAAATTGAGCATCCCCAATACAAGAAAGTGCATTTTGCAAGTGCAGTTGTGCTCATTTTTCCCAGAGCTTAGTGAATGTGTTGAAGCTTCACTTTGTAAAGAATGCCCAATCAGGTGCAGGGAAAATACAAAACAGCATTTTTACTTGTACATGATTAGACGATGGAAATCAGCAGAGCTTCACAAAATCTTCCAAAACGTTTTGCCTTTAGTAAATCAACCGCAATGTCTAGGGCAGGAGGAATACATGACACTAGTTCATTAGAATAATTGCTACCGGTAAATGCATGCTTTCAAACATTCCTCACTAGTACTCATGTAATATTCTATAAAATCGTAAAGTGTTTTTCATAAACATAGGTTTAATATATTTTACAGTATCTACTTCTATTTTACATCATAGATAATTGTTTTAACATTTTCATTTAACTTTAATTTACAAATATAGTACTTAGGAACTTGAGTCAAATGCTTGTTTATTGCAACAATGGTTGAAAAATAATACCATGTATGTGATGTACATATTACAGGAATCTGCTTACTATGTTTACAGAACCCCGCTACTATCACTAGAATACTTCTGAGTCATTTCAACTGGGACAAGGAGAAGTTAATGGAGAGGTAAGGACTCACCTGTCTGGCTCTACTAACATGAGGTAACTGCTTTCTTTCAGCCTATGCTGGAAGTATATTGAGCTGCAGTAGATTTTTTTTTTTCTTTTACCAATTTGTTTTGATTATTATACGAGGATTAAACGAGACCTGAATAGTCTATTTAAAATGGATGCAGCTGAAAGAATGCTAACAGTCTCTCATGAATCTCCTGTCTAGTGCCTTAGACAGAGACTTGAACGGTCTGACTTGAGTGTAAGATAACAGGATAGATAGCTGGGACACCGATGCTTATGAATGTATGGCTTTTATACAGGCAACACACGGGTATTTTTTAGATGTTTGTTACAGGAGGGATACAGGGGTGTTGAAATTTTTGAAAAAAAACTACTTGTCCAAGGGACTACATCATTGTCCCAATCTACTGGTCCCTCGTGAAAATTTAGGAATGTTTTAAAAACAAAAGGGGTTTTAAGGTGACTTAAATGTTTAATATTTTTAACATTGCGCTGTTTATCTCCTCCTCCCCTCCCTGCCGGTCTCCAGCACTGCACTCGGGGACTAGCAGGGAGCAGAGAGACACCGTGCAATGTAATGAGCACTGATTGGGTGCTTGTTAGGAAAGGGGCGTGTCAGGCTTATCCTTTATCCCTTTCGCTGCCTGAACCGTTTTTTTTTTTTTTTTATTTTGCACAAGATTAAAAAAAATAATTTTAGGTCTGAAGATTACACAAAAACCCCCAAACATGATATATTTTCTGAAATCAGAGACCCTAGAGAATAAAATTGTGGTAGTTCCAATTTTTTGTCACATGATATTACTGCAAAATTCCAGTAAAATATACAAGCTAGTTCATTTTAGGGCACAAAAAAAAAGCAATAAATTACCCTATTTTTTTTGTAAAATATAAAAAGATGAAGTTGCAGCGAGTAAATAGATATCCAACTTGTCAAACCTTAAATTTTCGTGCGCTCATGAAATGGCGACGAACTTCAGTACCCTATATTTTTTATAGGTGACTCTTTTAAAGCCCCTTCTAGTTAATCAGTATAGTGTTAGAGGAGGTCTAGTGCTAGAATTATTGCTCTCATTCTCTCTCTGGCATGCACGGCGATATGTGACGTGTATCGCAAATCGACGCCCAAGCGTGTTCTTTTAAGTTTGTACGTGCGTATATGTGGGGGGGGGGTAGATGTTATGTGCTTGGGTGTAACTTTCTTTTTTTTTTTTTTACAATGTCTCCTATGTGATGCTTTTTTTGAGACATCCAAGGTCTACAAGACCCTGGATGTCTCCCCTGTGCTCCACTGAATGTAATGCAGTTCACATCGCACTGCATTACATTCTTTCCCGGCCTCAATTGCCAGGAATCTCTCAACAGGGACCCGGAAGTGACATCATAATGGCTTCCACCTGACAGGTGAGCCCTGCTGCTTGCCCACAGCAGGGCTGAAGGTAAAAAAAATACTACGTGAACTACATATCCCGGGCGTCGGGCAATAGGAATTCAACATCCCTGGGGGTATATTTCTTTTATTCACTTATGTTATTCATGCATGTGTAGATTTCTCTTTTAGCTCCACGGGCTGAAAGAGTGAGATCACATGGTTATATGGACCCTGCAACAATTGCCATGTCCTGGGAATGGTATACCTGCCAGTGCCTACCCTAAGTAGGGCAGATGCATCCAAAAACCATGTGCGACAAACAAAAAACCACCAAAAGGATATTGCACCTCATAGGCTAACAGCAGTATTTATTATGCACTTTCAAGTAGTACTACAAACCTATCAATGCATGTCCCCAACCCCCCACTCCAAACCTCCCCCCAACCCCCCCCCCCCCACTCCACTCAAGCCCTTCGCCCCCTTGGAGATACTGGAGTGCACGCCAGCTTTCATGTGTCTTTTGGGTACAATGTGCCGTTCATGTGAGATTCATTGACACTACCACACACCCTGGCCCATGGATACCGTAGTTTCTGACTATAGAGGAAAGGACAATATTGAGCATACCGGATGAATTATGATGACTGGTTTTATGTATGTTAAATTACAGTGCCGGCTTCTGAGATATCCACCTGTGAAGCACAGGCTGATCCACGGGTCAATCAGCTACCTTTGATACTACATACATATATGGTACAAATTACATCACCAACCTAATATCCAAGTACCACCCAACGCGCACTCTCCGCTCCTCACAAGACCTCCTTCTCTCTAGTACCCTGGTCTCCTCCTCCCATGCCCGCCTCCAGGATTTCTCCAGGGTGTCACCCATCCTCTGGAACTCTCTGCCCCAACCCATCAGACTATCACCTACTCTCCTCTCCTTTAGGCGTACCCTGAAAACCCACCTCTTCAGGGAAGCCTACCCCACCCCTGCTAATTTGCCGACCTCCTGCACTCTTCCTACCACTCCATCCCCCACAGCTATCTCCTCCTGTACCACTATCCCCTCCCTCCTAGATTGTAAGCTCAAAGAGCAGGGCCCTCGAACCCCTCATGTATCGCATTGTATTGTTACTGTACTGTTGCATGTTCTGTCCCCATTGTAATGTACAGCGCTGAGTGAACTGTTGGCGCTTTATAAATACTGTATAATAATAATATGGTTGGATGGACTCATAGGAGCCTGTCAGGTGATCAGTTGATCAGCCTGGATGGCCTATGGGTCTCTGTTATCTGGAGAGAGCAGCTATGCATGCTAGGACTGGAGCCACGTAGCACACACCCATATAACGAAGACACTGCTGAATCTTTGTGGGATCCTGCCGCTGTCCCTCCGCTCTCATTTTCCCAACTGGGGTGATATCGGGCTGCATCCAGCATTAGGACTCTCTATCGCACCTTTCCACATTGTGTATGACAGCTGGTCATCATAATCATCTCTAAACTCTTTTCAGATTCATTAGTGTCAGCACTGCTCCAGAAGACTCTTTTTTTGGGGACCTTGTCCATCTTCCTTAGGATAGGGGGACCAGGGGGATTTAGGGAGCTGTGGGTGGCTGTGGCTCCAGGTGCCCCGGAGTGGAGTGGGGGTCTGTCCAGGGGGTGTTTGACTTTGGGAGTGCAAGGCTCAGGTGGAGGGGTGGATGGGGTGTGGGACATTCATTGATGTGTTTGTAGTACTATTTTTACATCCATAATAAATACTGCTGTTGTTAGTCTATGAGGTGCAATATCCTTTTGGTGGCTTTTTGTGGGATCACTTGGTTGCCTCATCGAACATAACCGGCTTGGATGGAGGAATCTGCAATGCCATCTCATATACTGAGACAGCACCAATTCTGAATTAGTTGAACAGTGACTGCATCTTATTGGACGCAGTCACTGCTCGGCTGACAATTTTCCACCTGGCTTCATCTATTTTTCAGTTGAGATTTGTCAAGCTGGATGGTACTGACAGGTCCAGCCACGGTTTGAATTTTGGCCTAATCAGCAGGAATCTGTTGAAATTCCTGCTGACTATGGCTAGCTTAAATCATGAAATTACATGCAGTGTTTAGAAGTGTGTTTTCAGTGTACACTAATTTAATTAACCAAGACTTTGTAAAACTGCAGATGTGCATCTTTGCAAATATTGACAGTAGTTTTCAAGTTAATTTTGGGATGCGCTGATACCTAGTACGTGTACCGATACTTGTATTCAAGTACTCGCCAATACTAATTACAGATTCCTTTGCTGTGCTATTTGAGCCCATACAATATGAATGGGCTGAAATCGCACTGCAAAAAATAGCATGTGTTTTGAACAGGGATGCAGTACGTTTCATGTCTGAATCGCATGAAGTTTCCCACCCTGCTCCTTTGTGAACCCAGGCTGAAGTCACTATGACAAGCCTGGGTTCACACGATACATTTTTTACCTCTAAAATGGGACTTTCAAGGCAACTAAATTAATAAATTCAAAATTTTTTTATATTTTTAATTTATTAATTTAGTTGCCTTGAAAGTCCCATTTTAGAGGTAAAAAATTGTGTTATACAAAAAAAAGAGATGATGGCAACTACACCCTCAGTCACAAAGACGCTTAATTTTTTGCAGCCTGGGTTCACATAGGAGCAGTGTAGGAAACCACATGTGATATGGAGAGAAATTGCACTGCATTTCTGTTCAAATTGCATGCTATTCTTTGCAGTGCAATTTGAGCCCGTTTCATTTTGTATGGGCTCAAGTCACACCACAAAAGTGTTTGTTTCAGGTATTGGAGCATTTGCAGGAGAACAAGTACCGGTAATCCTAACGTTAACACCTACCAGCTTAGAGTTACACAGAAGGTCTGATGCTACAATTATTGCTCTTACTATAGCGTTTACGGCTTTACCTCACGTGTGGTGCAAACATCATTTGCATATATGTGACCTACATATGCGTAGTTTCCCCATCAGAGTCCCCTTCATTACTGTTCCCTCATCAGAGTCCCCTCCTCAAAGTTCTTCTCATCAGTATTCTCATTCATTAGAGCACCATCACCTGTGTCGTCCTTCCTTTTTAAAATCCTGTCATTAGTCTCCCCTCATCACAGCCTCCCCAATTTCCATCAGAGTTATTCTATCATCCACCCTTACCAAGTGACAACAGAATAGCAGCTGGGACTCGGTAGATTGAGCAGTCGGGCAAGGCTGCTGTTAAAAACCAGGGGGCCTGTACAGCCTACCTGACAGGGCAGACTCCTCCCATCCAAATTTCTCTTGCCTCTGAAGCCCAATCTGCGTTCGTATTGTGCTCAAGAGGCAATTGACCGGTAGTGAGGAAGCAATGCGAGCCTCCTTACTGCCTGTTTTAACCCCATTTTTGCTCACAAATGCACTGCACATGGGGGGGGGGGGGGTCAGCAGGAAGAATGGGATGGTGGACAGGAGGGGATGATGCAGCAGGAAGGGGGGGGGGCAATTACCACAACCTTTTCTCCTGTGTCTCTCTCCTTGCAGCTGCTGAAAGCCAGTGGGAAGGAAAGGAGAAGTTCGCTTTCAGCAGCTGCAGAGAGCGACACACAGGAGATCAGTTTTTGTAATTGCCTCCCCTTCTTCCCCGCCACATCACCCCCTTCTGTTCACCATCTGATTCTTCCTGCTGCAGTCTGGACACTGGGACACACAGCACCGCTCTGCTCTTCTCTCCCCTGCCTGGCACATGGGGTGCAGAGTGGTGATTTGTTTCCCTCAGTTCATATGCAGAGCTGTGCTGAAAATGGCAGACTGCAGATATGTTGCATAATCCCGCACAGCTCTGCACCTCTCCCCACCATCTCACCTGCATGTGACAACAATTGTTTTTTATATATTTTTGCAGAGACCTTTTTCTTAGAGCAGAAAAACACAGGTCTCTGCAGATGGTTTGAACAAGCCCTAAGGGTGAAACAGCTTGGAGCCAAACATGGAAATGTCTGGCAACAAAAGTTCATTACTGGAGCTCATATCTTTACTTTTTCTGTGTCCATTGCAAGTCCCTCAGAGGGTAGCACAGTTTCCTGGCTGATTATGTACAGTTGTGTTCAAAATAATAGCAATGTGTTTAAAAACATGAGTAAAGCTCAAAATACTTATAATAGCTTGTATTTTTATACATGCGGATGCATTGGGAACCTTGCACAGTATTCCAAATCAAAGCATGAAGAAAAATGTTTCAAATGTGTTATTACTTTATAGAAAGTGAAGAAAAGGGGATATTAGGCTGTTCAGCATAATAGCAGTGTCTGCATTTTTCTTTGCAAACTCAAAAACTTACTGTATAAACTGAAAAATGCTTGAAGATTTAGCTTTCCTGTGAATCACTGAAGTAATATTTAACCACTGTTAACCACTGTTTCTGAGAACTGCTGTACATCTGTGTTGCATGGAGTCAACCAACTTCCGGCACCTGTGAACAGGTATTCCAGCCCAGGACAATTGCACTACATTCTACAATTCCTCTGCATTTTTTTTTGTTTTAACTCAAACAGCTTTTTTGATGTCACCCCACAAATTTTCTATTGGATTAAGATCCGGGGATTGGGCTGGCCACTCCATAACTTTAATCTTGTTGGTCTGGAACCAAGATGCTGCTCGCTTACTGTTGTGTTTGGGGTTGTTGTCTTGTTAAAACACCCATTTCAAGGGCATTTCCTCTGTCATAAGGCAACATGAGCTCTTCAAGTATTTTGATGTATTCAAACTGATCCATGATCCCTGGTATGCGATAAATAGGCCCAACACCATAGTATGAGAAACATCCCCATATCATGATACTTGTGCTACCATGCTTCACTGTCTTCACAGTGTACTGTGGCTTGAATTCAGTGTTTTGGGGTCGTCTGACACACTGTCTCCGGCCACTAGACCCAAAAAGAACAATCTTACTTTCATCAGTCCACAAAATGTTGCCCATTTCTCTTTAGGCCAGTCAATGTGCTCTTTGGCAAATTGTAACCTCTTCAGCACATGTCGTTTTTTCAACAGTGGGACTTTGCGGGGGCTTCTTGCAGATAGCTTGGCTTCACATAGGCGTCTTCTAATTGTAACAGTACTCACAGGTAACTTTAGATCTTCCTTGACCACCCTGGAGCTGATCATTGGCTGAGTCTTTGCCATTCTGAGTATTCTTTGATCCATTCAAATGGTAGTTTTCCGCTTTCCTCCACGTCTTTCTGGTTTTGGTTGCCATTCTAAAGCGTTTGGGATTATTTTAGCTGAGCAGCCTATCCATTTCTGCTCTTCTTTATATGTTTTTCCCCTCTCCAATCAACTTTTTAATCAAATTATGCTGTTCCTATGAACAATGTCTTGAACTACCCATTTACTCAGATTTTTAGAAAGAAATACACTATACCCAGCATGTACAACATTTGCTGCCTTCGCTCTTTAACCACTTGCCCTCCACAGGATTTACCCCCCTTTCTCACCGGGCCATTTTTTGCATTACTTTAACTGACAATTGCGCTGTCATGTAATGCTGCACCCAAATTACCTACAGACCTCTCCTCTGTTTCTGTGCCTCGGTGATCGCCAGGTGCCGGCAGGGAATCTCCGGCCAGGACCCAGTGATTGACAGCTGAAACCGCCAATGGCAGTGCAGGTAGGACGGCGCGTGTGGCCCCCCATTACCTGGAAATACAAAATCACGTATATATACACGTGATTTTGCGAAGCCCTGCTGCCCTGTAGCAGTACTTCTGCTATAGGACGGTCGGGAAGCGGTTAATAAGGGACACCTGTTTTTTCACAGACTGAATGACCTCACTAATTGAACTCCACACTATTATTTTGAACATGCCCCTTTCAATTAATGATTCAATTGCACAGAATCAGCAGCAGGCATGAAATGGCTGTCGGGTCTGTTGGTTTTCTATTACTCCTACACCTACTAGTAAATTATTTGTCAAGTAGAAATATAATTTATACCAAAAAACAGTAATCTGGTTAGTGATGTTGGACTGCTATTATTTTGAACACAACTGTATAATATAGAATGCTTGTATAAGTATTGCAGTGCCCAGAAGTGGACATCTCACCACCAGAGTACCAAAACTGTAAGAAAACAGATTGAGGGTAAAGCCAGCATCCACACAAAATTGCAATATACATTCTTGGAAGTCTCTTGCTTTTAAGCAATGCCTGGCTCAAGACATTATTGGTAGTCTGGTACCAGTGATGAGTCTTATCCTCTTTATAGGGAATCAGCATGTAGCTATTAACTACAGAAATTCATAATGTTTACAATTATATCTGTTACAGTGTACAGTATTAGAATTGTGTTTGTTTTGCTCGAGGGAATGGGGGTTTAGTCCGATGTCATTTAAATAAATTATCACAGTGAAATTGTTTGTTTTCCTGTGTGTGGTATTTAGTTTCTCTTAAGGTGCAACTCCAGGAAATGTGAAAAGTCGACTTTGCAGTGGGGCTGTATCTGCACTGCTTGTTTATTCTAGGGGAGAGTAAAAACACTTGCACTTACCCAGTCCACTGCTTTTCCAGCAGGCGGTGCTCCCCTATGCTTCAGCGGTGGACTGTCCTTTTGCATCATCTCATCCAATGCAGGGCCCTACATTGGCCTTAATGATGCCAGGACCTTAAACCACTGGAGCATGGGTGAGAAGATGGTCCAGCAGTGCAGAGGATAAGGTAAGTAATTTTTCTTTTCTATGCCCCTAGACCCAAATGAGCAGTGTACTCTCCCAGTGCTGCACAGCCTTTGCTTGAAAACTGTCACAGCTGGGCCCTACATCTACAATGTGTGCATTCACCTTTGTTCATTTCTGTGGCTAGGTTTGTAAACATGGAGCACACAGCCATCCATGGGATCACAGACCCAGTCATAATGAACAACATTGCACATGTGTGGTAGGTACAGAGTTTGGCCTGGAGTTTTCACGCAAAGCCCATGCAAGACATGGACTCACAGTGAAGATCCCTGGAATGACCTTTTAGTTGAGTATTTAACCCTATGGAGTCACAAGGAAGTTCCAGGTGAATGCAACTGTTCCCCTTTCCCTTGCTCTGCCAACAGAGGAGCCTGACAGGTGCCAGGGAAGATCTACAGTAAGAGTGTTCTCAGATCCTGCCTGAGCTTTAGCTAGCATCAGGGCTAGGGACGGGGAGCTGCTGAACAGGCTGCATAGCGTGAGGTCCAGAGGATTAAAAAGAGATCTGTTTTGAACACGGGGTGGGGGAACATTAAAACAAATACATTCTAGCTTGTCAAACTTGAGATGGCTTATTTTATATGGATTGGAATGGTGGCAGTGTCTGGTGTTGTGGGCTTGTAAGCATTTAGATGTCCTAGTCCTAAACATTTGTTTTTCTTCTCTGCTGCTAGGTATTTTGATGGCAACTTGGAGAAGCTCTTCTCAGAATGTCATGTCATTAACCCTAGTAAGAAATCACGAACACGGCCCATGAGTACGCGTTCCTCTGCCCAAGATATGCCCTGTCAGATCTGCTACTTGAACTATCCAAATTCAGTAAGTGTTTTTTGCCGTGAGTGTTTTTTTTTTGCCTGCCCCTCACTTTTTCCACTGACATGCTTAAATCTATACATTTTACAGCCTTAACAAAAACTGAATTGTGGTGCATAATTGATGTCCTACATATAAGAAATGCCATGTCTTGAGCTACTGTATTTCACTGATCCACGTATTACCTTCAGCAAATCAAAGTCTATATGTTTTCTTTGATATGTTAAAAGCAGTACGCATATACTTTGAAATAGTGTGACTGTTATCTACCTCGATGATGGCAACTGCAAGCAAACATGCAAGTAGGTGAATAATTGTGTATTTACTGCTGTGAATTGCCAACATATTATTTAGTACTGTAAATAAGAGTAAATCGTAATATAAGGACAAAACATAATACATACCGTAGCTAACATGTAACAATTTAGATTAAAGTGTTACTAAACCCAGGACCCTACATTCACTATATCTGCTCTCCCACAGTACACACACCATGGAAATGCAATTATTTTAGTAAATATAAACTACTAAATACATTTTTCTTGTCAGCAGTCTTGTGACTTCTATTAGTGTCCAGCCGAGCACAGGTTAAATCTTGTAGGAGGGGTTTTCTTTTTGAGCATGTAGAGCCCCTGACCTCCATCTGGGCAGTGCTGATTGGCCCTGTGCTGATCACATGCACTCTCCCAAGAAAAAAAAAAAACAAACCTCTAGCAATACACACTAAACTGAGCATGTGCAGTGTCTCTACACAATATGTCTTATCGGGAGATAAGAGGGGTGCACTGGAAGAAGGGAAGGATCAAAGAAGTCAGGATCAAACAGCCTTTTTACACAATGCAGAGGATTAACCCCTTAGGTTCCACAGTGAGTATAACAAGCATGCTTTACTGCATATACAGACTGATTTAACTGTTGTGGGTTTAGTAACACTTTAATGTACTTTTGTGAACTGGTGATTAAAGCTACTTTAAAATGTTCCTCCTCTTTGCAGGAGCAGGTCTGAGTCCAAGTCAGGCTAAAGTTGGCCATACATGGTTTTGTTCAAATGTTCATATGAAAATTCTGAAAAATGATTTATTAGAACATTCTCTGTTGCCATCATTGAGTCAATTAATAAAATTATAATTTGTCCATATCTGCTATTTGAATGGAATCCCGGACAATTTTTCCCAAACAAAAACCACATTCACAGTTAGAAATTTGTTCTTTTGAGAAACGTTTGCTATCATGCTGCTTCAAATTTTCTCATTACTATGGTCAAAAACGGATATCGATTTGACCTCACCTAATCGCTGAAAAAAAAAAATCCAACAACTTTTTCGCAAAATGAAAATTTTCAAATCAAATTCTACTGGTCTCTGCAAGGGCAAGAAGTTTAATTGCCATTGTCTGCTTGATTTCCAAAACTGTTAGGCTTCTTGTAAACTGGCAAAACACAGCCTTTACTGATGGATGTTCCTGTTCAGCGTGGCTTTCCCCCATAACATGAATTGTGTGTCTCCACAGCTTGCAGTTATCATCATGGTACACAAGATATTATCACATGTAAACAGTGCATTTTATAGAACACAGGTTATGCCTGATGGAAGCAGTAGGTGGAGCCAATGTAGTAATAGAGAATTGTAGGATTCTGTTAGTAATGTTTAAACAATTTTACTATGAGGTGACAACTTCTGTTGTTCGTTTTATAAAATTAGTAATACCTGACAAAGCTTACACTGATTGGCTGAGTCCGAGGCTGTGACATCATCAGCTGCTTCTCTGTCAATCAAAAGAACCTTTGTATTCATTTATAGAATACATCGCTTTCTATGAATGACTGAGCGCCGCTATTGTGTTTCAGGGCTGAGAAAGGAAAGTCTAGTCTCTCACTGGAACACATTGCTGTATGTAGCTTCAGCTACGTAAAGTTTATATAGCGCATCCAGCGGCCTCCCGTGTTAGTGAAGGACATAGTTCATTTGGGCCAACTTGCACTTGTACAAAAAGCTGGACTTCAGCTTTACATTATCAGATAGAGCATTTTAAAATGGTAAGCAGTAATTTTAAGATTTGGCTGCTTTCCTGGCGATTTCCCCCATATTTTCTAGTCTTGTCCCACTATCACCAGGTTCTGGAGAGAGATACTAGACATAATTGAAACTGTTGCATCCATTTCCCTGAGGCCTACTAGGACAATCTGCTTTCTAAGGCTGGTGGAAAATCTAATTCCCACAGTGGCCAAGAGAACACTGGTTAGTCTACTACTTTTTATTCTAGGAAGGCCATCACGATGCAATGGAACAAGTCTGCCCCTCCCTCTATATTGATTTTCTGGAAACATTTAACAGATTACCTCTATACAAGGATACTTGCTTTAATAGCAGTTGCCCCCCAAAAAATTACATGGTGTGGTTCAGCTGAGCCCACAACAGCTTTGGTAATGTCTGTGACTTAAAGTTTAACGTTATGTATTGCATGTATGAGTTTTTCCCGAAAAGGGGACTGTGACGAATGCAGTGCCCGACCCCTGCCCTTCTCACCAACTCCAGACAAAGGACCAGCCAATCTTATGCCGCACTGTCACTTGCTTAACATTGCCACTCTCAGCTGCACCCTGTACAAATCTTTTCCAGCTCACGGGACCATAATCTATGTGCCAGCAGCCTGAGAGCAACTGTCACTGGGTTAGTTTAATTACGCAATTAATTCTTTAAACTGCCACCACCACCTTTTTTCCGAGAAGAAGGAAATTCACAATCTTAACAATAACACTATGATTTTAGCATAAACGTCTGCAACACACACTTTCACCACAGACAATATATTCAGAGGATTATTATCAGTAGCACTCTTCAAGAGAGAGGGATTCTTTAGTTTACATTAAAAGCCTTAGAGATAGTTTTAACACTTTTCAATATAGGGTTTATTAATGAAAGGTCAAATGGTGCAATTAAGATATTTACATAAAAGGATGTTACAAAGACATAAAGAGAACAATAACGCAACAGAGAAAATAGAGATGAAAATGGAGAATACTTGCAAAGTCCTTGGTTTTAGCAGAGTCCAATTGTCCAAAAAAAAAAAAAAAAAACCGTTGCCGTGGCTCTCTTGGGTGTTCCTTGGTTGATGTTAAAATGAGAGCTTCCTTACCAGGTCCAGTCATCTTCTTTTCTGTAATGTCAAAGGGGTGTCGCCAGAGACCATCTGACCAATAATCTGGTTTAATGGATGGGTGCTGGGAGGCCGCGAGGTTTACGACCAATTCTCAAATTCAGTTTTACACTAATATTAATAACTTTCAATACATGCAGGCGGTATTTTAGAAACTGACAGAATATTATTCTGAATCATATTTCATAAACAGGAATACCAAACACAGCGTACCTTTGTCACCCAGGAGGGAGGAGACTGCTTCCTTCCCTTACGTACGTGCTACCATAGTCATGTATGATCTTGATTGGTTCGGAATGATATTCCCTATTCAAATATATACCTAATCTAAATGTGTCCTGTTCCTGCTGAATTCTATGATTTGTATGGGGAATTGTTAAGTTGTGAAATAGACGTTTTTTGGCACGCTCTGAATTCCTAGAGCTTCAATGGCCTTACAGGTCATGTGTGATGGGCTTGACTGAGTTCTTATAGTTTTACGATAGGGCAGAGGGAAAAGTTTTCATGGTTTGTGGAAACGGACATCCTGCCAAGACTGATTAGCTGTTCACAACTGGCACTCAGGTCTGGACTCTGGCTTGTGTTTAGTTAAGAGGCAAGGCTCTTTTTGAAGTTTGTTAAAACTTACAGCTACAAATTCAGTAGTTTGCAAGAGGAGGGAGGAAGGTCACTGCTCATGAAAACAAAATGGCTGAGACCTTAAGATGACTGTTGCATACTACTTCCAAGTCCCTATTGCGCACAACCAATACAGGGACATCTTACTCGCTCTATCGTGTATTTATGCCTTTACTATGGCTGCTATAGTCTGTGTATATGGTTGCAAGCCACATCTGTTATGGGTGAAGCCCTTGCTTGCTCTGCACGAGTGTGTACTATACTATATTTCTTGAAGCCTCTGCGTGGGTCCCCCACTTAAAATAAATTTGCCTTAAATATCACTTTAAGTTAACTCGGCTATTCTACTCTAAATTTACACATACCTCTAAGGGTTTTCCCAAGAAATTCTTTAAGGTTTGGCCTGTCTGGCTTAATGCAGTTTATACTAATGCCTCCCTGGAGGCAATTTCCCCGAGTCAGAAGTATCTTGCTGTTTATGTCTATAGTGGTCTCTTGTAGAGGTGGTCCTGTGTAGTGTTGCCCTTGGATCTGTTAATATATTCTCTCTGTATTTAACATTTCTCCTTCTCTGAGCCAAGTACGCAAGGAAGTAAGGTTCTGTTTTGTTTTATTTCTGTTTCCCCCTATTAGTGAGGCAGGGTATGCCCAGTTGGCTCTGTTTTGTACTTTTTATTTATGATAACACCCAATAAAAAAAGATGGGGAAAACTAATAGAAATACACTAATGCTGGTTGTAGCAGCAACCAGCAAGGAAATACAGATGATGTGGGACAAATGGGTCTTTGGTGTAGTGAATGAGTGCCATATCCCTTCTGTGCATGGCTTTGTAATACTAGATCACAAATAAAGCAGTTGTGTGTAACAAACTTAGTTTTTTGTGGAACAAAAAACCTAAAGCAGCCCATAGATTACAAAACACAAAAAACCTGCGCTTGGATGTAACAACACTCTAAATTCAAAAGAGCAAAATAGTAAGGAAAAGTCGCTTGACACAAAAGGCAAATTTAAAAATGAATAACAAAAATGCAGCGCTAATCAATAATACGTTTAAAATATCAACATAAAAGTCCAAATAGATCCAAGTAAATGAGACAGGTTGCAGGAGAAGATTCTGGCGTCATAAACCATCACCAAACACCCGAATAAATAAGCCCCTTACCGGACATTCAGGCCGTATAATATCTGTCAATATGCGCAGTACATAAGGAATCAATGAGGCAGGTAATTTTTCGCTAAGAGTCCTCAAAGTGAATACTCCTCCTTAAAGATGTTCAAAAGCAGGAAAAACTCCCATCCAATATTCAAATAAGGGATATAAAACAAAAGCAACTCATAGTGTAGTATTTCAGTAAAGTTTTGCCAAATGTAATAAAGGATACATGTACATCAAGCATTAAAACAACCAGCATTGAATGTGAAATGTTTCAAACCGAAAATATGGCCACTGTCCCGCCAGAACGTGGTGATGTCACACGCCGAAGCTCCACCCAAGGCGTTTTGTCATCAGGAAGCTGACGCCCCTGACTATGTCTTCCTGATGATGAAACGCCTTGGATTGGATGGGAGTTTTTCCTGCTTTTGAAGATCTTTACAGAAGAGGAGTATTCATCACCTTAAGGAGGACTCTTAGTGAAAAATTACCTGCCTCATTGATTCCTTATGTACTGCGCATATTGACTGATTATTATACAGTCTGATCGTCCGGTAAGTGGCTTATTTATTCTGGTGTTTGGTGACGGTTTATGACGCCAGAATCTTTTCCTGCAACCTGTCTCATTTACTTGAGGATTTATTTGGACTTTTATGTTGATATTTTAATGTATTATTGATTAGTGCTGCATTTTTGTTATTCAGCCCATATATTACTCTACTCTATTTTCTTTCCTTCCACCAGAGGTGGAAAGAAATAAAATCGCTCGATTTCCCCATCAACATAGTGTTGATTGAGCAATGCCTCCCTTGGGGCTATTGTGTTCTGCAGGGGGGTGGTCACGAGCCTTCCCGGCCAGCAAAACAAAATGATTACTGCTAGCAGCTTTAACTGCTGCTAGTAATCACATGTAGAAAATCCAACAGACTGGTTGCACCCAATTCAATTGATGGATCGACTTGGGTACAATCGCCCATACATGGATCGAATCTCAGATGGTGCCTGCTGAACCAACCAAATTTCAATTATTGTATGGCCCGCTGAAGGAATTTTTGAAATTAGCCTAGAGACTGGATTTAAATGATATGCCATGGCGAAATTGTCAAAACATGCTACGCTATTTAACCACTTCATGTTTTAGGCTGTATTAAAATGTCCTGGATAGCAGTTAAAACAAACTCGTGCCTGCAGCTGCAGCCTTCAGCTTGGTGTCATTTTTTTGTTGCCAGCGATCAACTGGGAGAAGTACCAACCCTCCATTCTTCTGTGACTATGGAACCTGGAAGTAACCAGGATTTTTTACTTCCAGGTTCAGAGCTGTCATTCCCTGGCTATTTTTGCCAAGGATGCAGCTAATCAAGTACAATTTGTTAAGCTGCGGTGGAGTGCAGGACGTCTTCATAAAGAGTATCTGTTGCCTGCTTATGTTCTCACATAGGAGGCTTTTTAGCCCCTTGTGATGACTATAAGTAAATACAGATAAACAATTAATGGAATAAAAAAAATTTTCCTGTCCCCACAGTCCCACATGTGTTTGTAAACTGCAGTTGTGCCACACGTGAGTTATCCCCACAATTGCAGTGAGAACAGTACTTCTAGGGCTTAATAATTCATGGCTAAATCTAAACTGATAAGCCGTAAAGGATTTTAAAGGATTACCTATACAAAGTTTTAGGTGCCATAGGTTTTTCGCCAATTCACAGACTAAAACAATTCTGATTCTTGACATGTTTGATATCTATTAACGTGATGCAACTGCCTATTTTATATTTTACCAAAAAACTGGTGGTTATATTTGTGTGCAAAAAAAAATCATTTTAGTGTATTTGGTCTATAAAATATGCATTTGATAAACAGCTGTGCAAATATTAAATGTAAAAAAAAATTCAATGACCACTGTTTTACTTTCCGAGGCCTCTGCTTTCAGAAAATGTACTGCTTTTGTGGTTTTAAGTAATTTTCTAACACAAAATGCTGATCTTAACAGTGAAGTGGTCAATGATGCAACACAATGTGTACTGTGCATGTACATGTATACTTTTTATATGTTTATTTTTTAAATAGTCAGGTGAGTATAAAATTTTAAATATTAACATTTCATATCTGCATTCCAGCCAGCAGATGAAAGGGTTTGCTTCTTTGCACATGTTTACTTGTATATTCTTTATTTTCTTTGCCAAAACTGCCTTTTATTTTTAGAGCTCATTCGCTCAAACTGAAATTTATACATGCACCCACTTACCTCTGAATGACTTGGCCCCCCCTCCCTTGAGAATCTAAAGGCAAACAACTCTTGCCTTAGTCTATCCTTAGGAGCCCCTTAATGTTTTTGGACACTAGTGTCTGATACACCTTGTGTTAAAGGTTTATTGGTAAAATATAGATTTGATATTGTAAAAAAAAAACCACATCGTTCACGAAATGTTTATCACTGAAAAAGTTTCCCTTTTACTGAGCACACTCAGAGCTCCCTCAGCATATAAATAGCATTGGAGTTCAGATAGGCTCCTCCAATCCCCTCCCCCATGCATACCACAATAGAGTGTCAACACCTAACTAGCCTATAAAAAGGTGCACATACATTTGTAGATTTAATTTTAAGTGCACTTTACAAATGTAAAGCAAACTTGTGTGCAGTTTACTTTAACTATAAGTCTGAAAAGCAAGCACTAATAGGTTTCTTCCACACACATTCCGTTAACTTTTAGTTAACCTTGTGAGCCCCTTCTGTCTCCCATGCCTGCCTCGCTAATGGGTGATGTCAAAACCCACTCATAAGTGTTAGGCCCCTTGCACATGGGCCATCTAACAGTTTTGCATACCTCCCCAGGATTTAAGTGCGTTTGGGAAGGACAGGTGCCAGCATTGCAGTCTGTCAGTCTTTTGTGGGGCTGAACACTGTTATGAGCCGTACTTGCACTAAAGCAGGGCTGAGTGCTGCACTTGTCCCTCCCTGTGGCACTAAAATGCTGTAAGGGACTACCCTGTGAACAAGGGGCTTTGATTTAAAGCGGAACTATATCTACCCTTTCTCCAGCAATGTGGTGTCCTGGAGCTCCCTGGCCTCTGACATTTTTGAGCGGCTGTTTTCTGGGTCTTAATCGTTGGCCGCTGTCATTGGTCAGGTTGGGATGACGTCAGTCAGATTCGGCATTGTCAGATTTGTACAGTGAGCTGTGCATGTGCCGTTCACTGTACAGGAGCGGAAAGGCAGGTAAGCAACTTTAAGGCATAAGAGACCATGCATGTCTCTTGTGCATTAAAATTCATGCCTGTTCGGCCATTTTTTTTTTAGCTAAAGTTCCACTTGAAAACCGTGTATTACAGCATGTTATTCTTCATGAAACATCCTTGAAACATATCAAACTATTATATACAGTAGTAAGTAGTTAAATACACTTTTAAACTGTGTGCCTTATTTTTTATTAGTTTATCTATTTACATGTAACATCTTATGTATCTATAATTTTTCCATGTTTTCTTCAGTATTTCACAGGCCTTGAGTGCGGTCACAAGTTCTGCATGCAGTGCTGGAGTGAATACTTAACCACCAAAATTATCGAGGAAGGAATGGGACAGGTATATTGAGACAAGTGTTCATTCTGTTCTTCCTTGTATTTTTTTGTTCACTTTTTATTTTCTTTAGTTTGGGTCACATTTATAAAGCTGTGGATATGGCCTTACTGTTGCCATAATACTGTTTTTAGAATTTAAAAAAGGTGCATTTGTATGTCACATCAGTGTTCTTTACAAATGTGTTTAGCACTTTGCTTGCTTTGTGGGAATTTCATGTGACCAGGATTGCCTCGCCTTATATCAGTATGCTTTAGGATACTGTGCAGAGAATACTCTGTGGACACAGAAGAATCCACACCACAGCCTGCATTTTATGAATGAAGCATAAAAAAAGAAATGCAGTGTGGAGCCAGTACTGCGGTGTCAGCAGATTGTGGTATCTGCTTTCCGTTTATAAATAGGTCCCTTTTTGTCCCCATGTTTTAATGTTTTTATATATGGAAATAGGATTTTACTAGTTTGTCATCATTTTAGCAACAAATTTTTATGTTTTGTTTTTCTTTCATTTCAGACCATTTCTTGCCCTGCTCATGGCTGTGACATATTAGTTGATGACAATACAGTAATGTAAGTGCTGTAAACACCCAATTATATGTGTAATGCAATTCTTACACTGTAAATAGATAAAGGGAAACTTGAACCAAAATGATTCGATTAAGGAGTTAGCTTCCAGGGGATAAATATCAGTCATGCCCATGAATTTCATTTGTGACTGGGTTGGTAAAGCCATAGTGCATCTTATGTTGTTTTTTTGACAGAATTAAATACTGTGTACTCTAGTTGTTCTACCCAATAAAACCTCTGCCCATTGCTTTGAGATAAAGTGTCTGAGCAGTTACATGTGCAATGCTGTTCATAGAGAATACCCTTGTTCACTCACATAACTCATTAGTTGTAGGTACTGCTTGAATAAGTAGTCAGGAAACTGCAGTGATGACACAAGCAGGAGCTGTTTGCCTGCCTAATAAGTCTCCCACAGAAGCATTTTTTATTTGTATGCTTGTACACTGCATCAGGTGAACCAATGTTTGAGAAGGTAATTAACCTACCAAGCTACTCTTCAATCATATCTGCACATTTTTCTAGATTTAATAGACTTTTATAGCTGTGTTAACTGTAAAAGAACTGAAGCGCTTACTGGTTCAGTATTACAAAGCCTCAAGCTACAACCCTGATTTTTTATACTTCTTTTCCCTTCTGTCCACTGCCCTGTGGTACTTTGTGGTGTTGGGTGTACATGCATGGTTTTGCTAGGATATGGTTGGCATTAACACAGCATATTTGCAGGAGCTGCAGTGATGAGTGTGAAACGTATCCTGTACTGCACAGTGTGTTTAGTACTAATTTTGCCTGGTATTTTTTCTATTTTTTTTTTAACAGGCGTCTGATTACAGATTCAAAAGTGAAATTAAAGTATCAACATTTAATAACTAATAGCTTTGTGGAGGTAAGTCCTTCTCTACAGAAAGGCAAAGGCATAAAATGCCATACTGCTTTATGAGAGCCGCTCTATTTTACAGATGTGTTGTTTTCTTGTGTATAAGGGGCTGTAGTTGGTATAGTAGTTGGTATAGATATACCTAAGTAGTGCATTTACACATAGACTTACTTTGTGCAAAGGAGTTGTAAAGCACAGCCATGGAATAGCCCTGCAAAGGATGAAGTAGAGCTTGTGAATATATAGAGCAAATCTATCTGCCCCATGTACAAATTGCAAACTATATACAGAAACACATTTTTAAACATTTGCGCATAGTAATACAATTATATTAAAGTGGTTGTAAAGCTTAGTTTTCTTTCATTAAGTTAACAAACACATTAGGCCTTCTCTGTGCAGTGGTTTTGCACAGAACAGCCCTGATCCTCCTCCTCCTCGGGTCCCCTGCTGGCACTCTGGGCTCCTCCCCCTTGGTTACTGCCCCAATAGCAAGCCACTTGCTATAGGGGAACTCATGCAAGCTTACTCCTAAGCCCCGCTCCGTGTGTCCATTCACTCACATAGCACAGCTCTGCCCCGCCCCCCCTACTCTCCTCAAAGGCTCTGATTGACAGCAGCAGGAGACAATGACTCCTGCTGCTGTCTCTCAGGAGAGAAAGAGCTGGAACAGCCGCTGCTCTCTTGGACAACGCTGGACAGGAGATTGGCCTCAGGTAAGTGTAAGGGGGGCTGGGGGGAGAGCAGCCCACAGAAAGTTTTTACCTTGCATTAATGCATTAAGCGTTGCTGAGGAGTATCTTGGATCCTGCACCTAGACCTCACACATGGACATTCACTTCTGCCCAAGACAGTGCTAAGCTTAAATTCAAATATCAGTGCTGATACAACCTTCTTAAATTGTGGCATTTATTAGTTGATTGAAAAGTGGCGAGGAGTAGAGCAATGCGGGCAGTGCTTAGCCATTGACTCAGGCTGTAGTCGAGGCCTTGCATACTCCACAAGGATGAATTTAAAGTTGAAATCCAGGGAATTTTCAAAAACACCCTTTCAATGGGACTCTCCTTGCACTGCAAGGGCTAAGTGCTCTTTCTACTCTAGGGTACCAATAAAAGTGGTTTTACTCACCTTATGCTCCGCTGCTTTTGGTGTTCTCTTCTTCCCTCCTGAGATCCAAGTTGCAATGTTGAAATGCTGGTCTTGCATTTTATGTGATCGCGCCAAAATGCCTGCAATCGACTGAATGCCATAGAAAAGTGGTAAAACTGCTTATATTTTATCTTATACAGTACAAGAGACAGGCAACTTATTCATATACTATGGGTTAAAGGCTCATACCTTCAGTTGATTGTATACTGAAAAGCTTTTGAGGACACACTCTATAACCCTACCCCCCTGCTCCATGAGTCTTTTTCCTAGTTTTTTGCTAGTATCTGAAGGTGATTAGTGCAACCTTGGTAAAACCATGGGAGCCAAACCCAAACCCTGTACTGTGGGGATGGCCTGTAATGATGTTTCAGACGCTGGATCTTGCTTGGGGCACTCACCTTGGCACTGGTGCAACATGCAGCGTTAGCCACAGGGAACTATACAGGGTTAGAGCCATGGCCCATCGCTATGAAACTACTCTCTGAAGACCCCTTTGGGGCTGTGCCAACCGTGACAGGCGAAGCCTGGACTTTATATGCAGTCCAGCAATGTGAGCATGTAACACAGGGTCACTCTGTATCTCTCACCATTACTGTGGAGAAAAAAAAAGGGGGGGGGGGGGGGGGCATGTATGAAATATATTCACCTCCAAAGTGTAAGCTTTTCAAACTTTTTGCTCAAATGCAACCACTCCGATTCTCAGGTAGATGATGAGGTGTTACATGCCATCTCTAGTTGCACACATTAATGCCACTTCTGCCTAGTGCCCTTTATAAGGTATTCAGGCACTTCCTTTCACCCTTTCGCCAACATAATTTGTTGCAGGAACGTCTATACCTGGGTTATCGTGCATTCCTTCAGGACACTATCTTCCACTTTACTTTGTGAGATGTGGCAGACACCATGCGAAAGGGCACCAATTCAGAACACTCAGAGTGATGATCTGTTCCTTGCATTGGAGCTGGACTCGGCTTTAACACCAGTCTTAGCATCTGATTCTAGCTGTAAATCCTGAAAAGATTTTGAAGCACAAAACAAGCAGTCTACTTGAGAATGTTCTGCATCTGTCACAATTCTTTTGACAGATTACGGCCTTATTACAGCCATCTTAGTCCAGGACTCAGAAATGCCCTGCCTCCTCTCCTACCCCCATTTCTCAGCTAGTGTCGGACCCTGATGTGCAGGTCCAGAGGATGCAGAATCAGAAGGCATGCAGAAGGTGTTGGGGCAGTGTTGGAGGAAGCTGCGTAAGATTTGTCTGCCATACATTGTCACTATATTGAAGAGGAGGATTCAAGCGATAAGCTCATTGCCTCCGTCCTGAAAAGCCTAGCACTGTGCAAATTGACTATCTTCTGTCTCCCCATGCCTCTTTGTGAACAAAGTTACCTACAAAAACTTTCTCTGTTAATGAACAGATAGAATGTGCAGTCTATAACAATTTGGTTGAAAGGATATTTACTCCCCCAAAAAATAATTATAATCTTTGCTAAACTCAATCCAGTGGAAAAAGTGTTTGCAATAAAAGTTGGCCTGTTCCTGTGGTTGATCCTGATATATCTGTCAAAAACAAACATATCACTGTGCCTGTCTGAAGATGTTCATTCTTTCAAAGCGTCTGCTAATAGAATATTTGATACTCTCTTTAAAGATTTCTTTAACTGGCAGGCCCAGCCCTGCAACCAGCTCTGGCTGGTATTTCTTCATGTTAAACTGCAGGTAACTGGACTAGGACAATAAATAACAAACATGACCCTGTAATTCAGAATTGCACTGTTACAGCGCAATTACACTTTAATTCAGCTCTTCTTTTTTGTGTAGATGCACTGGAACACGTTAGGAGACAAGTATCCAGAATTGCTCTGATCTCCATTCATATGCTCAACGTAACTGCGCACTCTAACCAGGATTCAACTTCAAAACCTAAGTTCAGCTTTTCCTTTTAGCACAAGGCTTGGCCCACAAAGGCTGCCAGGCCATTTAAGAGTGTGTGTGTGGGGCACATCTTACAGTTTATTTTGCATCTCTCTGGGTCATGGATGTCCCAGACCTGTGGGTTCAATTGGCATTTTCCAAGGGGTACAAAATAGAGTTTAAAACACTGCCACCTCATCGCTTTCCTTTTTAAATCAACCAAAAACTGTGCATGGACAGTCAGATTTGCTGAATCACCCCTTGTCCCACAGAGTGCTTGTACCAATAGGACAGGTTCAAGGGATTCTTCTTCAACCTGTTCACAGTACCAAAGCCCATCAGAGGTATCTGTCCTATCCTGGACTTAAAATCCTTTAACAAATTCTTTCAAATTCTGAAATATCCCATGGAATCTGCAAGGTCAGTAATTTCCTCTGAGACAAGTGGAATACATGGCATTCATGAATATCTAAGTTGCCTATCTGCATATTCCCATTTACCCATCTCACCAGTGATTCCTACACTTTTCAGTGGCAGACAGCAACTTCCAGTTTGTCACACTGCTCTTTGGCCTATCTTCAGCTACTAGGGTATTCACAAAAGTCTTAGCATACTTACGTGCCCTGCTCTGAACTCAAGGTATTCATGCGGGAGTTTATCTAGACGACCATCTCCTGAAGGATTCGGCTTCCTTTTAAGCTATGTCCAATGTCCAAAACAATTCAGTTGCTCTCTAGGCCTTTGGTTCGATTATCATCTTCAAAAAAATCTGCTCTCCAGCCTTCCCTACGTGTAGAACACCAGGATCTGATCCTGGGTACATATCAAGCAAAAGTCTTTCTTCCAGAAAGTTCTATTTCTAAAACAACTGAGATCCTAAAGAAATTCCACAGTGAGATTTGCTATGAGAGTTCTGGGTTTAATGGTTGCCTCCTTCGAGGCAGTACCTTTTGCCCAATTCCACTCAAAAACTGTCCAACAAAACATTCTGTCAGCAAAAATGCAGACTCTTTCCCTGGACTTACCCATGTTCCTATCCAACTAAGCAAGAACTTCTTTGTTCTAGTGGCTTACCACTCCAGCTGTAACAGTGGGGAAAATCTCTTCTTACAGATCACAAAGTTCTTACCACATATGCATGTCTGTCAGACTGGGGAAGAGTTTCCCAGTACTTTGAAAGTTCAGGAAACATGGTCAAGAGAGAAACCCAAACTCCCTGTCAACACCTTTAACTCAGAGCAGTCAGGTTGACCCTCCAGGTCTGGACCTTCTTCTAAAGAGACACCCAGGTTGGATGCAGTGAGATATTGACACCACAATGGCATATATCAACCGTCAAGTCGGCACAAGGAGCCTGGCTGCCTTAAAGGAAACAAACAAGATGGACAGAAACTCACTGTCTAGCATTTACTGCATTCCACACCGCAGACATGGATATCTGGCAGGTGGATTATCTAATTCCCCACTGCTTTAACCAGGGGGAATGGTTGCTTCATCCAGATGAGTTCAGTCTGTTAAATCAATTTGTTGACTGATCCAGGGATCTTGTAGCTCTGGCCTCAGATGCCCTAGCTCTGGTCTCCTTTCAGGCCAATATATGCCTTCCCATCCAATTCTGCTTCATCTGCACCACAAAGTAGAACTATGGAGGAAAATGGTGATTATACTTCAAACTTGCCCAGAAGAACCTGGTAGAAAGACATACTCGATGTCTAGCAGTCGATCCCTAGCGTCTTCCCATCAGGCTATATACTGTATGTGTGTGTGTGTATGTGTAAGCAGAGAGCAAAAGGCTAGTTACCAGTTTATTTAGCGTGTAGTCTTGCTGCAGTTGATCTTTTAGCCATTACTGACTTGCAATGCCCTGTCTCTGTGTAGAGAGGCAGTACTTTGCTTCCTTGTGTCAAAGCCTGTTGATCTGATGACTGGTTGAGTAATTTTCAAGAAGCAACTTATACTGAGGCAGAGTGCTGTGATGTTTTCAGGAAGCTATGTACAGAGCCGTTTGGATTCCTCCCACCAGGCATGATGTGTCTGCATTGCATAGAGAAATGCAAAGACCCAGTGATGCCACTGGTTCTAAAATAGGGTATGCAATGAAAAAGGAAAGGTTTTGTTTGAAAATCTCATAGTAGCATGTTGATAAGGAAGGAAAGGAGGAACCAGGAAAGGCAAAATATATAAGCTGGTTAATTTTCAGATTTAAAGTTCAGCTACATTTGCATTAACATAATGCTTTAGAGTGGTTGTAAACCTCTGACATGAAATATGAACAAAACATATCGCTGTCTAGTGTGTACTTCTCAGTCCAGAGCACTAAGTGTCATTTTTGTCTGCCAGTTTACTCCTCTGCAAGCAGCATGAATCATGTCTGACTTTCCTGACACCAAGAGAAAAAAGGTGATGGCAGGACACAGCCTGTGATTGACATCCTCAGCTCTGTTTCTATGTGCTGTGTAAAGGGGATGTGTCCCTTCCCTCCAATCAGCTCTCACAGCTCTCTTCACTGAGTGTAACTTCAGCTCCCCATCCTCTGCTTTTCAGAGCTGAGAGATACTTTGTAAGTTCTGCACTTTGAATGGATGTAGTTGACAGACATCTATAGATAAACAGGTACAACTTATGTAAGATGATTTGTTCCATCTGTGTATTACTTGAGGCCAGTCATTTCACTGGGTATATGTAAAGGTTTACAACTACTGTAATGTCCTCTTGTGAGGATGTGTTTTTTTATGTGATATATTGAGCATTTGTACATTCCCCTGTTTTATGCCTTTTATCTGCTTTTGTTCCCTAAAGTGTAATAGACTTCTGAAGTGGTGTCCTGCTCCAGACTGCCATCATGTTGTTAAAGTTCAGTATCCTGACGCCAAACCCGTACGTTGCAAATGTGGCCGTCAGTTCTGGTGAGTTACTTGTGCAAGAGCTTATGTATTGGTAGTGTGAAAACAAAAATGAGTACCGTACTTTCCGGCGTATAAGACGACCCCCTACTTTTCCTGTTAAAATATAGGGTTTGGGCTATACTCGCCGTATAAGACTACCCCTCTACCAATCAATCACGGCAAGCGATGTACCAGTATTTTCTGTGCACACTGTGCACACTGCATACAAAGCCTGCTTGGATTGGGTGGGTCAGCTCTCCCTGCCTGCCCAGCCCTCCCTGTCTCCAAGATGATCTGAGAACTGCCACAGTTATTAATATATAATAATTAATTAATGTTAATTTACCGTATTTCATAAAGGGGTCAATTACACAAGGTACTGCCTAGCTGACGCTTCTGCGCATGTCTTCGGCAGCAGTAGATGATCGCTGATCACCATTCCTCGCAGAACTGCATGAGAGGTCAGATGCAGCAGTGCTCGATTGAGCTTGACTGAAACTGTGATATGCAGAGAAGGGATACACATCGGGTAGCGGCAAGAAGACGCTTCTGCGCATGTCACAGTTTCAGTCAAGCTCAATCGAGCACTGAACGGCTGCATCCGACGTCTCATGAAGTTCTGCAAGAAATGGTGATCAGCGATCGTCTACTGCTGCCGAAGACATGCGCAGAAGTGTCAGCTCGGAAGTACAGGTATGGTTTCAGCACAACACCCGGCGTATAAGATGACCCCCGACTTTGTAGAAGATTTCCAGGGGGTAAAAAGTCGTCTTATACGCCGGAAAATACGGTAAATAAATATGCAAATTACTTTGCTGCAAGGAATGTTTGTTTCCAATATAGGGTAAAAAAGGCAAAATTAAAATATTAAAAAAAAAAAACTTCTTTAGTATATATCTGCAATACAGTAACATTTCCCAATGACTGTTTCTTTAACTCTGGTGACGGGTTCTCTAGAAGGCCTTATTAACTTCGGTAAAAAGGTCCCTCATGTGAAATCCTACAGCAAGTAAACTGTGAATAGACTATCTGTCCCTGGGCACAGGTAGATTGATGTATGGGTATACAGAGCCACAAAAAAAGGGCACAGGAGCTACTTTGGTGCATTTTTTGAGCATATCACAGCAAATTCAAGTGATTAGGCTGCCCTCCATGTTGCGTCAAAAATGCGCAAAGAAAAAGCATAAGAAACGCAACACTTCTGCTTCACTCAGGTGTGAGTGCAGCCTTAGTGTCTACATATTGTATAGGGAGGATTGTACTTCCTGCTCAAGTTCCTCTATTTTGAAGGAAACTTGAATTACCTGCAGACGAGCTAAGGCTTAAAATTATATTTATTGTTGCATATACGTACAGTAATACCTCGGTTTACGAGTTGAATTCGTTCTGCAAGACTTTTCGTATAACAAAAAATTCGTAAACCGAAACTCTGTTTCCCATAGGAATGCATTGAAAACCAAATAAAAAAAGTAAACGCTACTGAAATACTGCATGAGTTATTTTATCAAGTCATGCGGTATTTTAGTAGTGACAACCATGTGTTAATGTCAGCTGTCAGCGGGGTTCCCCACTGACAGCTGAATGTAAAAGAATTGCTGGCAATTAAAAAAATTATTTAAAAAATGGCATGGAGTCCCCCCTCCCATCCATACCAAGCCCTTCGGGTCTGGTATGGATTTTGAGGGGAACTCCCGCTCCAAAATTAAAAAAAAAAAATGGCGTGGAGGTCCCCCCCCCCCCCCCCCCCCCCCCCAAAATCCATACCAGACCCTTATCTGAGCATGCAGCCCGGCAGGTCAGGAAAGGGGGGGGGGGCGCCCACCCCTTCTGAACTATACCAGGCCACATGCCCTCAACATCGGGGGGTGCTTCGGGGCAGGGGGGCTTCCCCCCCAAAGCACCTTGTCCCCATGCTGATGGGGACAAGGGCCTCTTTCCCACAACCCTGGCCGGTGGTTGTGGGGGTCTGCGGGCAGGGGTCTTATCAGAATCTGGAAGCCCCCTTTAACAAGCCCCCCCATGTGACATCATTGATATCACATGGGGAATGGTCACATGCGTGATGTCCCCGGGTGGCCCCGCCCCTTACCTACTTAAGGACTGTTAAGCCAGTTCAGAGGCAGAGGGCTGGCAGCCATCATTGGGAACAGAACCTTTTTTTCTCTTTTGTTGGGTCGCAGCGGGCATCGTGATTGACGTTGGATCTACTGCGAGGGCATTCTTTTAGTTTTTTATTTTAATAAAGGACTTGTCAAAGACCATGTCCTGGAATTTTTTCACACTACACGTCTTGTTTTTTGTGAATGAATGGGAGTACCCCATACTCATTCACATGGGGGGAAATCCATATTCCGATAAGCCTCCTGCCCGCAGACCCCCACAACCACCGACCAGGGTTATGGGGAAGAGGCCCTTGTCCCCATCAGCATGGGGACAAGGTGCTTTGGGGGAAGCCCCCCTGCCCCGAAGCACCCCCCTATGTTGAGGGCATGTGGCCTGGTATAGTTGAGGTATAGTGACCTGCCAGGCTGAGTGCTCGGATAAGGGTCTGGTATGGATTTTGGGGGAGACCCCCACGCCATTTTTTTTTTTAAATTTTGGTGTGAGAGTTCCCCTCAAAATCCATACCAGACCCGAAAGGCTCGGTATGGATGGGAGGGGGGACCCCACGCCAGTTTTTTATTTATTATGGTGCTGGTTTTTAAATGTAATTACCACTTTTTTTTTTTTATTCTGGGGAAAGTGACAGCTAATCCTGTGGGCTTTAGTGAAGAACAAAAAAAAAGCCGGCAATTGCATTTAAAAATCAGCACCATAATACACTTCATATTGCGAAAAAAAAGTTAAAGAAAAAAAAAAAAAAAAAAAACGAGGCATTATTTTCAATGGATTTTCATTCGTAAACCGAAAATTACGTTAACCGAGGCATTCGTAAACCGAGGTACCACTGTATATAGGAAATGCAGTGTCTTCCCTCAGCGTATTCCACTTTCCATAGAGTTCTCTGCTTATATATCCTTTCTTATCAAATGGCAACAGGGAAGATTAAAGGACCAAGGCAGACACTTCACCTAAAATGTTACACACGCCTGCTGGCACAGTTACAATTTATATATCTGTGTATCATTTGCAGTAAAGCATCTCTGAGCAGACAAAATAAAGTATACTTAGCCATCTTTTAATACTCTATATATGTGACTCAGTAAGTATCATAGTTATCCCCATACAATATAAATGTGTGACAGATAATTTGTTTTATATACGTTTCTTAGCAACAGAAAGTATGGATGTACCGAAATTTCTGGCCAAAACGTTTTGGCCAAAAATTAAAAAAAAAAAGCACCGATACAGGTGCCGAAAAAACTCCGCTCCTCGCCGCCACCCAGTAGTTCTCAGCCTTACCTGAGAAACCATCGATCCCCGGCGCTGGGCATAGAGATGAGTGAAGGAAAGATGGCTGCCACTCATCTCTATGCCATTAAAGGACCAGAGCGGTCACTTCTGGTTCTGTCCATTTTTTTTTTTTTAATCACTAGATCAATGTTTTCTTTTTTTTTTTAATCCAATGCTTTACATTGCAGAGGAGAGATGCGGGGTCTTATTGACCCCATATCTCTCCATAAAGAGGACCTGTCACTAATTATTTCTATCACAAGGGATGCATGCATTTCTTGTGATAAGAATAAAAGTGATTAAAACATTTTTTAAAGGGACACTGCAAAAAAAAAAAAATACAAAACAAAACAAAAAAAAAAGTTTAAAGTGTCCCCGCCCCCCAGTGCTCCCACATAGTGAACACATATGTAGGCCATGCCGACATGTGTAAATGGTGTTCAAACCACATACGTGAGGTATCGCCACGAACGCCAGAGCAATAATTCTCGCAGTAGGCCTCCTCTGTAACTTTACACTGCTAACCTGTAGAAATTTTTAAAGCATCACCCATGGAGATTTTTAAGTACCGCAGTTTCACGCCATTCCACGAGCTTGCGCAATTTTAAAGCATGACATGTTGAGTATCTACTCGCCATGACATCCTCTTTCATATTTTATACAAAAAAATTGGGATATATGTTTGGAGTTTTTTTAATCAAAGTATTTTTTTTTCCAAAAAATATATACCATATTTTTCGCTCCATAAGATGCACTTTCCCCCCCCCCCCCCCCCCCCCCAAAAAAGGGGGGAAAATGTCAGTGCGTCTTATGGAGCAAATATGACCATCCCCTGTACTATGTCTGCAGTCTCTGGTCATCCCCTGTACTGTCTGCAGTCTATGGTCATCCCCTGTACTGTCTGCAGTCTCTGGTCCATCCCTGTACTGTCTTCAGTCTCTGGTCCATCCCCTGTACTGTCTGCAGTCTCTGGTCCATCCCCTGTACTGTCTGCAGTCTCTGGTCCATCCCCTGCACTGTCTGCAGTCTCTGGTCCATCCCCTGCACTGTCTGCAGTCTCTGGTCCATCCCCTGCACTGTCTGCAGTCTCTGGTCCATCCCCTGCACTGTCCGCAGTCTCTGGTCCATCCCCTGCACTGTCCGCAGTCTCTGGTCCATCCCCTGTACTGTCCGCAGTCTCTGGTCCATCCCCTGTACTGTCTGCAGTCTCTGGTCCATCCCCTGTGCCGTGTCTGCAGTCTCTGGTCCATCCCCTGTGCCGTGTCCGCAGTCTCTGGTCCATCCCCTGTGCCGTGCAGTCTCTGGTCCATCCCCTGTGCAGTCCGCAGTCTCTGGTCCATCCCCTGTGCCGTGTCCGCAGTCTCTGGTCCATCCCCTGTGCCGTGTCCGCAGTCTCTGGTCCATCCCCTGTGCCGTGTCCGCAGTCTCTGGTCCATCCCCTGTGCCGTGTCCGCAGTCTCTGGTCCATCCCCTGTGCCGTGTCCGCAGTCTCTGGTCCATCCCCTGTGCCGTGTCCGCAGTCTCTGGTCCATCCCCTGTGCCGTGTCCGCAGTCTCTGGTTGAATTTTCGGTTTCAGCACCAGAATTTTCATTTTGGTGCACCACTAACAGAGACAGATCCAACATTTGGTTTGTTGCATGTTGTGTATAATTCATTAGTTACTAGGTGGGATCTTAGTTAATACAGCCTAAAACATTGGCTATTTATCTTTTTCTTTTTTAATGTGTCGTTGGCATGATAAATATGATCTGTATTCAAACAGTAATATGTAACATTGTAAAACGTTTCTTATAAAATTAAACCTTAACAGAAAATGTTAATCCTGCTAGGATGTACAGTGTCTTGAAAAAGTATTCAACCCCCGTGAAATTTTACACATTTTGTCATGTTACAATCAAAAACGTAAATGTGTTTTATTAGAATTTTATGCGATAGACCAACACAAAGTGGCACATAATTGTAAAATGGAAGTAAAATGATAAATGGTTTTCAAAATGTTTGTTTTACAAATTAATATCGTAAAGTATGTCGTGCATTTGTATTCAGCCCCCTTTACTTTGATACCCCTAACTAAAATCTAGTGGAACAAACAGCATCATGATGGCCAAGGAACACATCAGGCAGGTCAGGGATAAAGTTGTGGAGAAGTTTAAAGCAGGGTTAGGTTATAAAAAAAATATCCAAAGCTTTGAACATCTCAGGAAGCACTGTTCAATCCATCATCCAAAAATGGAAAGAGTGGCATAACTGCAAACCTACCAAGACATGGCTGGCCACATAAACTGACAGGCCGGGCAAGGAGAGCATTAATCAGAAAAGCAGCCAAAGAGGCCCATGTTAACTCTGGAGGAGCTGTTCCACAGCTCAGGTGAGAGAATCTGTCTACAGGACAACTATTAGTCGTGCACTCCACAAATCTTGCCTTTCTGGAAGAGTGGAAAAAAGAAAGCCATTGTTGAAAGCCATAAGAAGTCCAATTTGCAGTTTGTGAGAAGCCATGTGGGGGACACAGCAAACATGTGGAAGAAGGTGCTCTTGTCCGATGAGACCAAAATTGAACTTTTTGACCTCAAAGCAAAACGCTATGTGTGGCAGAAAGCTAACACTGCTCATCACCCTAAACACACCATCCCCACCGTGAAACATGGTGGCGGCAGCATCATATTGTGGGGATGCTTTTCTTCAGCAGGGACAGGGAAGCTGGTCAGAGTTGATGGGAACATGGATGGAGCCAAATACAAGACAATCTTAGAAGAAAACCTGTTAACAGTCTGCAAAAGACTTTAGACTGGGGCGGAGGTTCATCTTCCAGCAGGACAAAGACCCTAAACATACAGTCAGAGCTACAATGGAATGGTTTAGATGAAAGCATATTCATGTGTTTAGAATGGCCCAGTCAAAGTCCAGACTTAAATCCAATTGAGAATCTGTGGCAAGACTTGAAATTTGCTGTTCACAGACGCTCTCCATCAAATCTGACAGAGCTTGAGCTATTTTGCAAAGAATGGGCAAAAATGTCCCTCTCTAGATGTGCAAAGCTGGTAGAGACATCCTCAAAAAGACTTGCAGCTGTAATTGCAGTGAGAGGTGTTTCTACAAAGTATCGACTCCGGGGTGCTGAATACAAATGCACGCCACACTTTTCACAGATTTATTTGTCAAAAAAATTGAAAACCAATTATCATTTTCATTCCATTTCACAATTATGTGCCACTTTGTGTTGGTCTATCACATAAAATACCAATAAAATAAATTTGATTTTGGTTATAACATGACAAAATGTGGAAAATTTCAAGGGGTATGAATACTTTTTCAAGGCACTGTGAAGTAACCGTAGTCTTGAAATAACATGCCTTTCCTGAAGAAAATGCCGCTCCAGGTTTTTTCCACCTCTATTCACATGACCAAAAGTTAGGTATTGTTCAACCTACAAGGACTGTTATAATTTGAAGTAGACAACTGAGTCTAGAATTACAATAACTGCAGATTGATATTGGTTATTCTTTGCTGTTAAATGGTAATTATCCAGGAATATGCAGAATAATTGAAATGGTCAGCTATTCTTCTGAAAAGCCTATGTAGTTGGTAACATCACTTTACCACTCTGTCTTGTAAGCAATGCTGCTCTTGTGTCAACTTCTCTTCGTAAGTCGCTAATAAAATTTCAAGTTCAGTCAGTTTCCAGGGTTCACACTGTAATTAGTAGTTGTAGTAGCTCTCATTGAAGAAGTAAAGAGGCGAGGTACATGATTTTACACACACATTTAAAAAGCTTTCAGACAGTGCAGTAAAAGAAAATAGGTTTATCAAATAAATACATAATATGCCCCACAAGTGAAGTGAAACAGTGTTCTTGTCAGCTGTCTTTGCAAAGTGTAGATGGCCACCAATGTGATATCAAACAATTGCAGTACTCCTCTGGGGAATGCTGCAGTCCAGTAATGCAGACTTCTGGGTTACATGTAGAGACCTGCAGGAACCAGGCATGTCCGCTTTTTTCAAGCATCACAATAGTGGTTTCCTGGTAGCCAGGAGATGCTGCAGACCAGTAGCACAAGTTTTCTAGTCTGTTATATGCAGCTATTCTTTTCTTTTAGTAATAGCAAAGTTTGAATAATTATTGATACTGGAACAACTTAATCAAAACTTAGGCATAGAGGTTAGAGGGACTATATTAAAAAAAAAAAGAAAATGTAAAACTGGAAATGGGAAGCTATTTATGAATGGTTATTACTTGTGTCTGTTATGCCAGGTTATATTTTGGTCTTTTCCCTTTGAAAAATCTGAATTTTTGTTTGTACTGTTACAGCTTCAATTGTGGAGAGAATTGGCATGATCCAGTTAAATGTAAGGTAGGTTTGTGTAAGGTTCATGAAATGTTTTCTAGTATATATTCAAAGAGAGGTGTTGCATTCGTTAGAGTCCTGTAACTAATGTACCATGTTTCTTTAGGTAGAGCTGAAGTTGAGTTGGCTGTATTGAAAATTAATATAGTTTTATGCAATATTAAATATATACCTTAGGAAAAAAATATTTTAGCGCAACAGCTAGCACGTCTAGGTTGGGAAAATAGTGGAGCTGAAGGGACCTTTCAAAACGCAGGTCTCATGCACACAGGATGGTATTAATGCAGCTGTTAGGGGCATCTGTTGTTATTTATTTGTCCGCACTCTAAATGCCTCTGCACGCTAACCTGTGTCCATGTACACACAGGTGTTTAGAGGCAGAAAACCCCCCTACTGCCAGCACATTCCGGAGCAGCATCGTTTTTGCAGAGAAAAAAACGCTTGACACACGTAAACGTGTATAAGCATACATTGCTGCTAAGGGCATTTAGCACTTGATCGTTTATTCATTTCAGTGGCCAGTATAAATCTTGCTAATGAAATTGACACCCAAGCGCTTGATGTGCCTGGCATCAATATACGTTACATGTGTTTATAAGCATTACTAACTGCTAAAACTTATGGCAACTACTCCATACTCTTACTACTTGACGTCTCTGCTGCTTTTGATACTGTTGACTATCCCCTCCTCCTCAAAAAAAACTCCACTCTCTTGGCCTCCGAGACTCTGCTCTCTCCTGGTTCTCCTCCTACCTATCGCAGTGCTCCTTCAGCATTACCTATAATTCTGTCTTTTCCTCCTCTCCACTCCCTCTTTCTGTAGGGGTCCCTCAAGGTTCTGTCCTTGGACCCCTTCTCGTCTCCATCTACACCTCCTCCCTTGGTCACTTGATAAACTCCCATGGCTTTAAGTACCATCTCTATGCTGATGACACACAAATCAGTCTTTATACTCCTCACCTCACCCCTTCAGTCTCCTCTCGCATTACTAACCTACTAAGTGACATATCAGCATGGATGTCACTTCACTTCCTCAAACTAAATCTTTCCACAACTGAGTTCTTAGTATTCCCTTCAGCCCATGCCCCCTCCCCTGACTTTTCCATCAAGATCAATAATACAACAATCAGTCCCTCCCCTCATGCCAGGGTACTAGGTGTAATCCTAGACTCCCATCTGTCCTTTCAATCCCAAATCCAATCGCTGTCCAAATCTTGTAGACTTCACCTCCGCAATATCTCCAAGATACGCCAGTTCTTAACCTCTGAAACCACTAAGCAACCTATTCACTCCCTTGTTATCTCTTGCCTTGACTGTTGTAACTCCCTCCTCATTGGCCTACCTAATCGCAGGCTATCCCCTCTTCAGTTTATCATGAATGCTGCTGCCAGACTCATCCATCTTACTAACCGTTCCATGTCTGCCACCCTTCTCTGCCAATCCTTCCACTGGCTTCCCATTGCCCAACGAATAAAATTCAAAACATTAACAATAACATATAAAGCCATATGTAACTCTGCCCCAAATTACATCACCAGTCTTGTCTCCGAATATCACCCAAACTGTCCTCTCCGCTCCTCGCATGACCTCCTGCTCTCTAGCTCCCTTGTCTCCTCCACCCATGCTTGTCTCCAAAGCCTTCCCCATCCTCTGGAACCCTCTACCCCAATCTATCCAACTTTTGCCTACGCTGCCCACTTTTAGGCGATCTCTGAAAACCTATCTCTTCAGGAAGCCTATCCCGCCTTCAGCTAATAATGGAATCTTCTATTCCTCCTGTCAGTCCATCCCCCACAATTATTACCTTTTGTACCACCAGCCCCTCCCTTTTAGATTGTAAGCTCCAAGGAGCAGGGCCCTCCTAACCCTCTTGTATTGCACTGTATCGTTGCTGTATTGTCTCCCTTTATATTGTAAAGCTCTGAGCAAACTGTTGGCGCTATATAAATCCTGTATAATAATAATAATAATAAAATCAAGTGTTTTTTTTGCCAAAATGCTGCTGACAGGAGGAAAGACATTTTAAGAGAGATGGATAAACATTTAGCGTGCATGAGGCCCTAGTCCGTTTTACACTTTAGCATCTAGTGTGTCTCACACAAAAACCCACTAGGACACTTAGTGATATTAAAGGGTTAGTTTTTTATTTTTAAAAAAATAACAAACATGTTTGCTCCTGAGTGAAGAGAGGGAGACAGGAGAACTGCTGTTCTTGTGCACATTACTGGGTCGAGATTGGGCTCAGGTAAATATTAGGGAAGTTTTGTTTTTTTTTTTTTTTTTTTTTAACCTTCAAGCAGAGGATGCATTAAGGTAAAAAAAAAAAAAAAACCTTTACTATCACTTTAGGGCTACCACACACTGCTTGATTTTCTTTCACTTGCCCCACTAACAGTGTGAATGAAGGAATCTCCACTGCTGGCTATTCAGACAGTCACAACACTCCCAGCTGCCTAAATGCTGTAACATTAATTGCATCTAATTTTTTCTACCTTGTTCAGTCGATTATGGACTTATGTTGAGCCAGGTGGTGATTGAAAGTGTCACCCATGGCTTGAATTTTGGCCAGTTAAGCAGGAATAAACTGAAATTTGAGTCATCTGTGTTGAACCTTTATATTTCTCTGACTGCAAGTTCCCTTAATGTCACAGATGCTGTTACTAAACATTGAGGGTCGGTCCACAGCACAACATAGTGTGGGAATGGCGCATTTCATGTGCGTTTCCTGCACTGTTCAAAACGTGTTGCTCTTGCTATCTACTGCAGATTGCCAATACATTAACGGCACCCCAAATGCAGATCACAAACGCAGTTCATTTGTGGGCATCAGATCTCATGGTACTGCAGTACCATTCTATTTGGCGCGGCACATTTTACAAAAGTAGTGCATGCACTACTTTTTGTGCATTCATATTCAGTTTGCAGCATTCAAATGGATATGCTGCCAAATCGCACTGCAGTGAAATGCACGGGGGGGTGTTCTTGTGTGATTCTGGTATTAATCTGAGTTAATTGCTTTGCTAGCTATAAACCGTGAAAGCAGGCGAAAATAAATCCAGCAGGTATTGGCAAATGAGAATAAGTGACCAAAATTATTATTATACAGTATTTATATAGCGCCAAAATGTTTGTGTTTGTTTTTTTTTTTCGACAGTGGCTTAAAAAATGGATAAAAAAGTGTGATGATGACAGTGAGACATCAAACTGGATTGCAGCTAATACAAAGGTAGGATCCTCACATTTTCTTCCTGCCTGTTTGGTTTTTATACATTATGGGTTACTTAAAGTATATACAGATGTGAACTGATGGTTTGGTACCCTTCAGTGGAAAAAAAAAAAAAACCCACAATTTTCTTTGAAACAACTTAAACCTGACCAAAGTAATTGGCATCTATTTGGGTTTATTCTGTGTTTAGTCAAAATCATACTTTGCTTTTGATTTTAAATATTTTAAATAAATTAAAATAGACTTGACAAGAATAGTGGGAACCTTAACGGAATGTTGTTGCACAACCTCTGATTCACACTAAATACGACTTTGAATTTGCGTGACTTCACTTGAAGTTGCATGATTTAAAAGTCGCATATCAGTGCGACTTGTAAGACAAATGTGTGACTTCATGCATAAATGTCAATGCAAGTTGCACCAGAAATCGGCAAAAGTAGTGCAGGAACAACTTTTCAAATTGGTGCAATTCTGACAAAGTCGGAGTCGCACCAATTAGAACAGCTCCAATCACTTTAGTGTGGCTTGTCATGCGATTTGAACTGTCAAATCGCGTGACAAGTTGCATCGGTGTGAACAGAGGCTTAGAGGTAATCACTGCAAAAAAGCGTTTTTAGTAGCTTTCAAAAAGATATAATCACCTGGCACTGGTAATTTGTCTCACTCTTGCATAACCTGCTCTAGCTGTCTTAGGTTTTTAAAGGTTCCTTCTCCATACTGCATTTTAGCTTTTTCCATAGATGTTCAAAAGGATTCAGATTTGAGCTCATAGAAGGCATCTTCAGAATTGATTAACGCAAAAAGACACATGGCTCCCACCATCAGTGTCTCTGAAGGGAGTGCAGACCTCTGCATATAAGAGAGCTTGACCAACCTTAGATTATTTTCCTCTGTGAAACCACAACAGTGGGTCTTGGGACTCCTAGCAAATAAATCGCTTGATTCACTCAGTCCAGAAAGAGAAAATCCAGGGCACCATGGTGAATGCTGTAGATTTAGAATTAAATTTAGCTCTTAACATTTCAACGTCATGCTTGGATGCTTTTAGCCTTGTGTTTTGGTTCCTTATCCTGCTTTAGAACCCATGACCTGCGACTGAGGAAAAATGGGCAATGTCAATATGGGCAGTACATTTCATGGTAGAATTTCTTGATGGTTTTGACATTTTGTGCACAGATGCAAGGTACCCTGTAACAGACGAAGCAAAGAAGCCTCAGAGCATAACTGAGCTTCCTCAGTATCAGTGTTTTCTTTGAAAGCCTCTTTTTTTTTTTTTTTAAATCTGTAAATAAAGAGCTAATTTGACTTGCCAAAAAGCTCCAGTCTCCTTTCATCTGTCCAAAGGACATTTTCCCAGAAGTATTGTGGCTTGTCAATATGCATTTTAGAAAATTCCAGTCTGCCATTTTTATGTTTTGCTTTAAACTCTGAAATCCTCTTGGGTCGTCTTCCATTGAATCCACTATTGTCAAAAAGCGAGAGCTGGTGCAGTCAAATACTTATGTAGCTTGATCTCTATTAAGATCTTTCTTGATCCTTGGTCTACAGCCGTGGCCAAAAGTTTTGAGTGACACAAATATTACTTTTCACAAAGTCCTCTGCTTCAGTGTTTTTATATCTTTTTGTCAGATGTTACTATGGTATACTGAAGTATAATTACAAGCATTTCATAAGTGTCAAAGGCTTTTATTGACAATTTGCAGTGTTGACACTTTTTTCAAGACCTCTGCAATTCACCATGGCATGCTGTCAATCAACTTCTGGGCCACATCAATGCTTGGAGTTTGTTAGAATTTGTAGGGTTTTTTTGTTCACCTACCTCTTGAGGATTGACCACAAGTTCTCAATGGGAGTAAGGTTTGGGGAGTTTCCTGGTCATGGACCCAAAATTTAGATGTTTTGTTCCCCATTCCACTTTATACTTTTGCCGTATTGCAAGGTGCTCCATCATGCTGGAAAAGGCATTGTTCGTCACCAAACTGTTCTTGTGTGGTTGGGAGAAGTTGTTCTCAGAGGATGTTTTTGTACCATTCTTTATTCATGGCTGTGTTTTTAGGCAAAATTGTGAGTGAGCCCACTCCCTTGGCTGAGACACAACCCCACACATGAATGGTCTCAGGATGCTTTAATGTTGGCATGACAAAGGTCTGCTGGTATTGCTTCTCCAGACAAGGTTTTTTCCATATGCCCCAAACAATCGGAAAGGGAATTCATTGGAGAAAATGACTTTAACCCAGTCCTCAGCAGTCCAATCCCTGTACCTTTTGCAGAATATCATAAGTCTGTCCCTGATTTTTTTCCTGGAGAGAAGTGTCTTCTTTGCTGCCCTTCTTGACACCAGGCCATCTTCCAAAAGTCTTTGCCTCACTGTGCGTACAGATGCACTCACACCTGCCTGCTGCCATTCCTGAGCAAGCTCTTCACTGGTGGTGCCCCAATCCCGCAGCTGAATCCACTTTAGTAGATGGTCCTGGCGGTGGCTGGGCTTACTTGGGCACCCTGAAGCCTTCTCCACAACAACCGAACCTTTCTCCTTGAAGTTCTTGATGATTCGATAAATGGCTGATTTAGGTGCAATTGTAGTAGCAGCAATATCATTGCCTGTGAATCCCTTTTTGTGCAAAGTAATGACTGCACGTGTTTCCTGGCAGGTAACCATGGTTAACAGAGGAAGTAATGATTTCAAGCACCACCCTCCTTTTAAAGCTTCCAGTCTGTTATTCTAACTCAATCAGCATGACAGAGTGATCTCCAGCCTTTTCCTTGTCAACACTGATACCTGTAAATGAGAGAATCACTGACATGTCAGCTGGTCCTTTTGTGACAGGGCTGAGATGCAGTGGAAATGTTGTTGGTTTTTTTTTTTTTTTTTTTTGGGACACTTTCATGGGAAAAAGGGACATTGCAATTCATCTTATCACTCTTCATAACATTATGGAGTAAATGCAAATTGCCATCATACAAACTGAGGCAGCAGACTTTGTGAAGACTAATATTTGTGTCATTCTCAAAACTGTTGTCAACGGATGTACCATTCACACTAAACTTTTTCCATCTGTGGTCGATTTTTCGCAGAGTGACTACTTTTCTCCTATTTAAGTATGCTGACTGTCTTCAAGATTGAAGATGTGTTATACTAATTACAGAAAACTGTTGAAAAATCACTGGAATTCAATGTATCATTCATTATTCAATTTTATTTCTAGTGGTAACAACAAATCCGTGCAGGACATTTTAGATTATCTTTGCACAATAAGCAACATCTCTTTTCACACGTTCTTTGCTTTGCTCCTGGACATACCAAAGACATGCAGGTATACATGAGATCATTGATTTTTGATTAAATCACTTTTCAGGAGGAATGAAACATTGTTTCAGTGAGCTCTTAGGGTAGCAACAATTTTGGCCATGTCTGTATATGAAGAAAGCAGGTTACATTTTATTATACTGTTTATAATTTCTTTCCTCAACTTTCATTCTCTCAGGAATGTCCCAAATGTCATGTGACCATAGAGAAAGATGGAGGCTGCAATCATATGGTATGCCGGAACCAAAACTGCAAGGCAGAATTTTGCTGGGTATGCCTGGGTCCTTGGGAGCCCCATGGATCAGCTTGGTAAGGGGAAAGACATACAATGGATTTACCTTTTTAATTATGAAAATACAATGCCTGAATTAAAGTGATTTTAAAGGATACATTTTGTTAAATAACGTGTCATTCTTACCTGCTCTGTGCAAAGGTTTTGCACACTGCAGCCCTAAACCTCCTCTTCTTTAGTCCCTTGCTGGCCCTCCTCCAAATGTCCCCATAGCTCGCTCCAGAAGACACACAGCATGGCTCAGCCCTGCTCCCTTCTCACTGGCTGTGATTGACAGCATCAGGAGCCAATGGCTTCAGCTGCTGTGTCAGAGCCACTGAGGAGGAAGAGAGCCTCGGCTCTTATGCACATGGCTGGATCAAAATCGGGCTCTGGTAAGTATAGGGGCAGAAAATGCATTAAGGTGCCCAAAGGTTCAATGGGCTTCGTGTCACAGGTATAGTTAAATCATATGTCAAGGTAAAATAAAAAAAAAAGGTACACAGGTTTATGTTAATTAGCAGCTTAGGGTTTACTGCCCCCTTATACTGAAATGGTCACTTGAGACAAAGAAACTGCCCCTTTTAGACTTTAAAGGATAGGTTCGTATTTAGTAAAATGTTAAACCCATAATTAGGGAGTAACATGTTACTGTGCAGCAGATCCTTGAGTCCTCCTTCATGACAGCTGGCATACAGCCGCATCATTCGTTGATAGGAATCTGAAAATGGTGGCAAATGGCTTGTTTTCAATGGACTGAGAGGGTGCTGATGATGTAGTCCATTCACTCTTCCTGCAGCTCTGAAACTGATGGCCAATATGAGATACAGGCACAGAGCTGTAGGAAGAGAATTCTTGACAGTGCACCTGCAATCTACTGATCATGGGTGCAATGCTCTGCAGGCTCCTGAAAAATAAATAAAATGCACATTTGTTACCCCAAAAATATGTTAATTTTATTTTTTTTTTTAAATGGTGAATTTAGCCTCTAACACTTCAAATCTGCTCAGTGACACTTGGGGGTTTATTTACTAAAGCTGGAGAGTCCAAAATCAGACTCCCTTCTGCATAGAAACCAATCAGCTTCTAACCTCAGTTTGTTCAATGAAGCTTTGGCAATGAAACCTGGAAGCTGATTGGTTTCTATGCAGAAGGGAGTCTGATTTTGGACTCTCCAGCTTTAGTAAATAAACCCCTTGGTGTTCTCAGGAGAATGGATGTCGTTTTTTTTTTTTTTTTTGTTTTTCCACTGTAAAAACTCCTGGTAGATTCTCCTGTCGGCCAACAAGTGCAAGTTTTGCGTTTCATTTATTATACCGGTGTTCTCTGTGAAAACCCTGCAGTCAGCATTGTCATGCTGTCTGTGGAGTTCATTTGGCACAGGACTTCACTATTCAGGTCAGTCCAGAATATCTTGTTCCGATTCCGATCGGGATAACGAGTCTAGAGTCAATGACTCAATCAGTCAGTATGCTACACATTGGCAAGTGGAATTCAATTGGTAGCGAAGATACAAATTTTAACTTACTATCGGAAGTTATCGGTCATATCTGTTTCCACCATATAACCTCATAATCTAATCAATCTAAATATGATCATATTTATATACAAAGTATCCCAGAGCTGCCAAATCAATACAACATGGTCAATAATTTTCCACACTAGACTATTAAAATCTGACTTAAATTGAGTCTAAATTAATCAGAAGTTATGGCTGTTTGTGGATTCGATAGTTTTGATCAGAGCATGTGTGGCTGTCATTAGCACTCATTCACACCAGACAGCCACCCAAAACACATTGTGGTTGGCGTGCACTGACTGGGACAGTGCCAATGTACCTATTTCTATTCAAACTTTTTTGAAATGTCAAAACGATATTTTATGAAGTTCTATCCACAAAGTGGCAATATGGTGGTTTATGTTGCAACCTGTGGTGCTGTAAAATTACTGCATGCACTAATGTTTTTTCAGCATGCATCACTGCTGTGCAGTGTTGTGAACTGACAGTATTGGGAACATGGCTTCTTGACCCTTTATTGCACTAGGACTGCTCTAGGCAAGGCTGCCCAGCACAGTCCTTGTGCACCCGGTGTGAGCAAGTCTAACAGACTGCACGCTGTTTAAAAAAGAGGAGGGTTGCCCCCAAAGTCTAAACTACTTAGGCTGTGTGCTGTTTACCACATGGATGATTGAACTTCTGCTGCTTCTCCTCCAGCAATCGGCATAGTCTGACTGAAATGCTGATTGTTGGAGCACCAGTGTATGAAGGCTTTGTTGGGGCTACCCTTCATGGGAGACCATCGTTTCAGCTCTTCAATGGATGAAATCATTAAACTAACATGGGGGCTCTCATTACCCCAGCTTGAAAAAATAAGGAACAATGCCTTCTTCTGCATCTAGGCATACCTTTCATTCCTCCGATTTAGTTTCTAGCTCTCAGATTCATAAGCCTTCTACCACCCCCCCAGGCTCCCGGATATCAAATCTCCCTTGGCAGTCAAAAAGCTCAAAACTTGTGGTTAAATTTACCTCCACATGAAGGTCTGCCCCCATGAGCTTCATTACAGGTGGGGAGGATGTCTGACAGCCTTCGCAGATATTTGGGAAACTAACAGTCGACTCTTGGGTGTAGGAGGTTTTATCCAGGGGCTGCAGAGTATTTTTGCCTCTGTTCATCTCAATTATATATATATATATATATATATATATATATATATATAATTTTTTTTTTTTTTTTTTTTGCTGTGTGTCTTCCCATGTCTCAGCAACATCAGATAAACCTCCTTTTTAGCCTTTCAAGGATTGTTAGATCAGGGAATTATTGTTCCCATTCATCCACCCAAAAGAGTTCAAGGTTTTTATTCAAGCCGGTTTACAGTCCCAAAGCAGGTCTACACCCCATCTTGGATTTGAAGGCTGTCAATGCCTTTGTGTGCCCTTAAACATTTTTCAGGTTGAAGCTCTTTTCTTTATTGCTTTTCCTCATTGCAAGATTTTTGGCATCCATTGACGTAAGGGATGTGTGTTTACACTTTTTAAGGTCATCACCAATTTCTTCGCTTTATCAAAAACTAATATATAAAGAATACTGTACTTGATGAAAACTAATATATACAAAACTTGACAGCAGCAGTTTTATAAATTCGAATATGTAGTGCTGTCCCCTTTAAACCTTATCACATAATCATATACAAACCATGCATAATTCACAGTAAAAAGTTAATATAACAATCCACAAAGTGATCACATTTAAAAACCAACCAATGTTAAACGTAGCCAAGAGTGATTAAAAATGTCCAATAGGTAATGAAAACACATTTTCTCTAGTGTGATCCCTTCAGTGTTGCCACCACCAGTACCCACTTTCACTGCTTATGTGATAGTTAGACCCCTAGTATCAGGGTACTCTCAATCCAAAAACTTGAGACAAAGGTGTCCTTTTATGAAACAGAGATCAGCTGCGGTCCTAAGGTTCGTTGCTGATCTCAGATCATTAGTGGTTTAGGAAACACAATGTTCGCCAATGATCATCTCAGCACACAGATGGCCATTATATGAAGGAGCGATGTCAGCCCTTCACTGGCGATCTGTGTTCTCCCACCAGATTCTCCAGCCCAGAGCTGGAGAATCGGGAACCGCAATAATTTACTGCTGCTTAGTAAACTGTGTTTGACTGCTTTTTTACTGTAATCTCACGATATTATAGTAACAGCAGCCGTTTTCCAGCGTTCAAAGCGTTTGTAGATCACTTCTCCCTTCATTCGGAGAAGCGATCTACGCTTCATAAAAAAGCATTCAGAGGAGAACTCTCTCCTCTGAGAATGCCGGAGAACTGAGCAGCGGTCATTTACCGCTGCATGATAAAAGGACACCAAAGTGTAAAACCGCTTCACTCAGCAAAGTGAGCATGATGATATCACTGCTAGGCTCCAATACGGAGTTTCTGTTTTCGTCTACATTTGTTATTGCCTAATCTGGCAGAGAAACTTCTTGCGGCATCGATTTGAAACTTGTAAGAGTATCATGATAGATACATAGACCCTGGACTTCGAGAAGTCTTCTCTGGTTCTGTCACATCACCTTGAGTACTTGGGACCCCAGGAGAAGATGACAAAACTCCACACTCTAGATGTTGGTCCCCTAGCTAGAGTTGCATGTATGTGTCCAGAATGATTATATCCACCCTCAAATCCATTGTATTTGTTCAATTTCTCACTAGAACTTTAAAATGCAAAATTCTCAGGAAATGTCAAGTCTTTCTCAGAACAATGTGACAGGTCTGTACGGCAAACGGACCTGGCAGCAAAAGGGTTAAAGGACTTCAATTTTGGTGTGCCTAGAGTTATTGCTGATCCTCTATAGCTAGTAAGAACTTGAAAGTGACATGGTTTATATCACTTCTGGTTTCATCTGACTCTTTCCCTGGCCACTGTGGCTGGAAGAGAGGCTAATGGAGCATGATCTGTGCTTGTTTTATTATCAGTGGCATGTAGAGGAGACATCAGAGGTATCATTAACCACTTGCCTACCAGGCACTTATACCCCCTTATTTACCAGGCCAATTTTTTCGCTGCCGCACTTTGATTGACAATTGCGCGGTCATGCAACATTGTACCCATATGAAATTTTGATCATTTTTTTCTCACAAATAGAGCTTTCTTTTGGTGGTATTTAATTGCCACTGGGCACTTTACTTTTTGCGCTATAAATAAAAAAAAAGTGCAAAAAAATTTGAAAAAAAAATTTTTTCTTTGTTTCTATTATAAAATTTTTTCAAACAGGTATTTTTTCTCCTTCACTGATGTGCGTTGATGAGGCAGCACTGATGGGCACTGATAGGCGGCACTGATGGGCAGCACTAAAGGGCACTGATAGGCAGCACTAATGAGGTGGCACGGATAGGCGGCACTGATAGACAGCACTAATGAGGTGTCACGGATAGGCGGCACTAATATGCAGCACTGATAGGCGGCACTGATAGGTGACACTGATGATGGGTACTGATAGACGGAACTGACTGGCATCATTGCTGGGCACTGACTGGCGGCACTGACTGGCACAACCCCTGGGCACTGACTGGTGGCACTGACTGGCAGCACTGCTGGGCTGCACTGGTGGGTGGCACTGGTGGGCAGCACTGGTGGACACAGGTGGGTGGGGGTGGGTGGCACTTCTGGGCACAGGTAGGTGGCACTTCTGCAGAGTGGCACAGAGTGTGTGACACTGCAGAGTGGCACAGGTGTGTGACACTGCAGAGTGGCACAGGTGTGTGACACTGCAGAGTGCAGGTGTGTGACACTGCAGAGTGGCACAGGTGTGGTGCAGAGTGGCTGGTGTGTGACTGCAGAGTGGCACAGGTGGGTGACGGCAGAGTGGCACAGGTGGGTTGCACTGCGGGCACAGGTGCACTGGGGCACAGGTGGGTGCGGAGCTAGCTAGTGGGCGCACTGCTGGGCACAGGTGGGCGGAACTTGCGGATGGCACTGCTGGGCACCAATCATCAGGGCACTGATCATCAGTTCCCCGATGATCGGTGCCGATCCCCGCTCTGACAACTGCCGGTTCTCGGCAGTACTTTCCTCACGATCTGACAGCGTGAGAAAAGTGCAGCCGAGAACCGGCACTTGCATTTCCCTCTGATCAGCGTGTCATTGGACACCGCTGATCACGTGGTAAAAGGCCGCTGTAATTGGCCTTTTACCACATCACGTGATCAGCTGTGTCCGTAGGACACAGCGATCACGGAGATCGCTGGGTGCGCGCCCCCTGGGAGAGCGCGTTCTGGGAGGACGTCATATGACGTCCACTCAGAACTGGCCGGCCGCAGTGAAGCCGTCATTCGGCTATCTGCGGTCGGCTACTAGTTAAAGAAAACTTGTCACTATAAATATGCTAATTGCACAGGACTGTCCACTGTGTGATAGTAATAAAGTTAAGTAAAAAAAAAAAAAAAAATGTTGAGTCCTCATCCCTATTCACATGCACTTACGAACATAAATGCATCCGACGGTGGAGCCTATGTACAAAAATCTGAAGTTGCGCTACACACGTTGCATATCACCGCACATGGAGTGAAAGCAATAATTTTAGGACCATTCACTTTTAACTCTAAACTAGTAACCTGTAGAAGCTTTTAAAGTGTTATCTATGGACTCTTTTGGATACTGAAGCTTTTTTTGCTGTGTAACGGACATAGGCAACCTTGAGGCTTGACATGTTTTCTTGTTTTTAATGCATTCTATTTTATTCTTTTGTTTCCGAGCATACACGGTTTTGGTCACTTGATTTTTTTGTTTTGTTTTTGTACAAATACTATACTAATTACACAAAAATCATTTGTTCTATTATCTTATGAGAAAAAATGTTCTTCTTATCCCTTCGGATATTTTTGCATTAACTATCATGATCAGCTCTTGAAAGCTTTGTACTAATGAATAGATTATCAGACAAATGCTCCAAATGTGTGTTTTTTTTTTTTTTTTTTTTTTTTTTTATGTCTGATTTTTTTCATCGTGTGTACAAGGCATTGCATTTGAACTGACAAGACAATAGGGTTGATTTACTAAAGGCAAATGTACCGTGCACTGCAAGTGCATATGCTCCCAGAGCTTAGTAAATGATGTAAAGCTTCACTTTGCAAAGAATACCCAATCATATGGAAGGACAATAAAAAACAGCATGTTTGCTTGCACATGATTGGATGATAGAAATCAGTAGAGCTTCCCTTCAGATTTAGAGCAAACTGCACTTGCAATGCACAGTATATTTGCCTTTAGTAAATCCCAGTGTCTCTTGTTCTGTGAAATACTGTGCATGTGGTGTCAACCCTGCCTACTTCATTTCTAATAGAATACAAAAGTTACAACCTCTTTATCCCCCCTTCCCTCAACACCCCCAACCCCATCTCTGTAACACCACCTTGTGCACAGGAAGGTAAGATTTCTAGTAGAACTAACAGGCATTTTTTGCATTTAACTACCAGATATAAGAAAACATTTTAATTATATAATTAGAAGAACAAAAGCAAGCAAATATGTGAAGTTAATATTTAGAGTTTACTTACACTCTAACAAATGTATTCAATACAACACTATACACTCTTTTTATATACAGGTATAATTGTAATCGCTACAATGAGGACGATGCAAAGGCTGCTCGAGATGCACAAGAGGTAAATATGTACAAAGTGCTAGACGCACATTTCTTATTCTTGCCTTGGATGAAAAATTCTGCCAAATAGAGCCATAAACCAGTGAATAGTGCATGTTCTTGTCTTTTTTTTTTTTTTTTTTTTTTGTAACTAAAATATAATTGTTTGCCAAGTTTTATACCTTTTGTATCTGAACAGTCTAGTGGAAAATTTAGAGTAGCAATAGACATAATGGTGCACATAATTGGACTTGGACACGTGATTGTCACTTGAAACTTTAGTAATCAGGGCTTTATTGTAGCAGCTCCTTTGACAGCAGGAATGCTGTACCACTGCAGCTTTCTTCTACTCGTTTTGTGCCATAGTTCTTTAAAAAGGATTCCAGCATCTACTGGTACACTTTGCAAGAATGCAGACAGTTTACAGTTCGAACCAATTTTTGCATGGATTTCTTCTGAAGTGATTACCTATTCCTTTTTGTACCCTGTGCAGCGTTCCAGAGCAGCTTTACAGAGATACTTATTCTACTGCAATCGCTACATGAACCACATGCAGAGCCTGCGATTTGAGCACAAGCTGTATGCCCAAGTCAAACAGAAAATGGAGGAGATGCAGCAGCACAACATGTCATGGATTGAAGTGCAGTTTCTTAAAAAGGCAGTGGATGTGTTGTGCCAGTGCCGCTCCACACTCATGTATACTTATGTCTTCGCATTCTACCTCAAGAAGAACAACCAGTCAATTATCTTTGAGGTAAGCAGTAGTCCCGTTTGACAGACCAGTTGAGAAAAATATTAAGTACCATATTTTCCGGCGTATAAGACGACTTTTTAAACCATGAAAATCTTCTCAAAAGTCATGGGTCGTCTTATACGCCGGTATACGGCATGCTGACACTTGGGGGTTTATTTACTAAAGCTGGAGAGTCCAAAATCAGACTCCCTTCTGCATAGAAACCAATCAGCTTCTAACCTCAGCTTGTTCAATGAAGCTTTGGCAATGAAACCTGGAAGCTGATTGGTTTCTACGCAGAAGGGAGTCTGATTTTGGACTCTCCAGCTTTAGTAAATAAACCCCTTGGTGTCAGGGCGGCACTTTTTAGGGGGCCCGTGCGATGCCATGCCCCGCCCCCCCCCCCCCACTGCTGTTTCTTACCTGGCTCCGGTCCCCCCAGTCCCACGACGATCTAGTCCAGGAAGCGCAGCTGCTCCTTCATTCAGTTCGGCCGATCGATGTTCGCGCGGCTGCTCGGCTCTCCTCCTCCTCACCGGTGATTGGGTGCCAGAACTGTAGCTCTGGAAAGGCACACAGGCGGCCAATCACCCTGGCCAGGAGGCGGAGCCGAGCGGCCCCGCAAAATCGAGCGAGGGAGCGGCCGGTAAGTGTGCCGTGCAGAGGTGCTGCTGCAACCACGTACGCTGGCTGCAGCAGCACCATGCTGGAACAGGGGTCAGCAAGTGTCATTGGTGTCAGTGGGAGTAATAGTGCCCCATCATTGGTGTCACTGATACTAATGATGGGGCATTATTCCCCCCACTGACACCAACGATGGGGCACTATTCCTCCCCCCACTGACACCAACGATGGGGCACTATTCCTCCCCCCACTGACACCAACGATGGGGCACTATTCCTCCCCCCACTGACACCAACGATGGGGCACTATTCCTCCCCCCACTGACACCAACGATGGGGCACTATTCCTCCCCCCACTGACACCAACGATGGGGCACTATTCCTCCCCCCATGACACCAACGATGGGGCACTATTCCTCCCCCCACTGACACCAACGATGGGACTATTCCTCCCCCCACTGCGATGGGGCACTATTCCTCCCCCCACTGACACCAGCGATGGGGCACTATTCCTCCCCCCACTGACACCAACGATGGGGCACTATTCCTCCCCCCCACTGACACCAACGATGGGGCACTATTCCTCCCCCCACTGACACCAACGATGGGGCACTATTCCTCCCCCCACTGACACCAGCGATGGGCACTATTCCTCCCCCCACTGACACCAGCGATGGGGTCACTATTCCTCCCCCCCTGACACCAGCGATGGGCACTATTCCTCCCCCCACTGACACCAGCGATGGGCACTATTCCCTCCCCCACTGACACCAGCGATGGGCACTATTCCTCCCCCACTGACACCAGCGATGGGCACTATTCCTCCCCCCACTGACACCAGCGATGGGCACTATTCCTCCCCCCACTGACACCAGCGATGGGCACTATTCCTCCCCCCACTGACACCAGCGATGGGCACTATTCCTCCCCCCACTGACACCAGCGATGGGCACTATTCCTCCCCCCACTGACACCAGCGATGGGCACTATTCCTCCCCCCACTGACACCAGCGATGGGCACTATTCCTCCCCCCACTGACACCAACGCGATGAGGCACTATTCCGCCCCCCCACTGACACCAACGATGGGGGCCTATTCTCTCACCCCCACTGACACCAACGATGGGGCACTATTCCACCCCCCACTGACACCAACGATGGGCACTATTCCTCCCCCACTGACACCAATGTGGGACACTATTCCTCCCACTGACACCAATGTTGGGACACTATTCCTCCCACTGACACCAATGACGGGGGCACTATTCCTCCCACTGACACCAACGATGGGGCACTATTCCTCCCACTGACACCAACGATGGGGCACTATTCCTCCCCCCACTGACACCAGCGATGGGCACATATTCACTATTCCCCCCACTGACACCAGCGATGGGCACTATTCCTCCCACCCACTGACACCCAGCGATGGGCACTATTCCTCCCCCCACTGACACCAGCGATGGGCACTATTCCTCCCCCCACTGACACCAGCGATGGGCTATGATGGGGACACCAGCGATGGGCACTATTTCCCCCCCACTGACACCAGCGATGGGCACTATTCCTCCAATGACACCAGCGATGGAACACTATTCCTCCCCCACTGACACCAATGCGATTCCTCCCCCCACTGACACCCATTGAAGATGGGGCACTATTCCGCCTCCCCACTGACACCAACAATGGGGTCTCCTATTTCTCTCACCAAACCCCCCCTGACACCAACGATGGGGCACTATTCCACCCCCCACTGACACCAACGATGGAACACACTATTCCTTCCCCCACTGACACCAATGTTGGGACACTATTTCCCCCACTGACGGGCACTATTCCTCCCACTGACACCAAAGATGGGGCCCTAATAATGATGGGGCACTATTCCTCCCACTGATACCAATGATAGGGCGCTATTCCTGCCACTGACACCAATGATGGGGCGCTATTCCTCCCATGACGCCAATGATGGGGCGCTATTCCTCCCACTGACGAATGGGGGGTGCTTATTCCTCCCACTGACACCAATGATGGGGCGCTATTCCTCCCACTGACACCAGTGATGGGGCACGATTCCTTTCCTCCCAATGACACTAATGATGGGGCACTATTCCTGCCACTGATGCAAATGATGGGGCATGATTCCTCCCACTGACACTTTCACCCTTTCCTGTCCAGGCCAGCTTTCAGCGCTATCACACTTTGACAATTGTACAGTCATGCAACACTGTACCCATATGAATTTGTTAGCTTTTTTTTGAGACAGATAAAGCTTTATTTTGGTGGTTTTTATTCACACACATTTTTTTTTTTTTTGCTATATAAATGAAAAAGTCCAAAAATTTTTTTCATGTAAAATTTTGCAAATAAATATTTCATCATAAATCTTGGCCAAAATGTATTCAGTTATCTTTTTTAGTAAAAAAATAAAATAACCCAAATTAGTTTATAACCAAAAATTATAATTTTTTTAAAATTTGTTTTTTACATTTTTTATTTTTTTATATTTATGTTTTTGTTTTTTGTTTTTTCTTACATACTGTCACTCTAGCAGTACAGTGTCACCATGGTGACGCTGTACTACTTGTGGGGGGGTGATGTTTTTTTTTTTTTTTTTTTACACTGATTGCTTTTACACCCATAAAGGCTGTAAAAGCAATCATTTCCTATTCTCTCTGGCTGCATTCTTGCAGCCATTGAGAAATACTGTGTGCGCTGTGATAGGTTACAGCTTGTCACATGGTACAAGGCTGTTGTGAATAGCCTTGTACCATGTGACTTCTGTGATCATTCACAGATTTCACACATAGTAAGCAATGATGTCATAAATGACATCTTGCTTACTACTCTGCATGTGATCGGAGGAGGACACAGCGGACACCGTATCGCAGTGCTGCACGCTGCCAGGGAGTGCGCACAGTCCAAAATGGCGGGCGCCGTTTATGAACGGCAACCCGCCCCTGGACTGCCACCATTCGGCAGTTTATATACAGCGGCCGGACGGCAAGTGGTTAATGTAGAAGTGTAGCATAAAAGAACATTTTAAACATTTCCCCTAAGCACACTGACTGCAAGTGTTTTACTCAGAGATATCCTTTCGCAGCACAAATTTTTTTATAAGTTGTGTAGGATTATTCTCTGAAGCCAGCACTATCTTTTATCAGCTGGCTTCCCCTTTCTTAGTAATGCCCACAGGCATTGTTCACACCACATGTATTTTGCATTAGTTCACAAAGTCCTAATGCATGGACAAGTCCAAAAGTCTTGTTTTGTATTACCACCATTCACACCAATGCACTGTGTTGGAGTATGCTGTAAAGAAATAAGGCAGATCGCACACACAAAAACGCATCACAGGCCACATTGCTAGTGTATATGCGCGGACATGCACATTGTGATTTGAACCTACACTGAATGCCATTAAAAAACGTCACCCCAGAACTTTAATGGGCATTCACACCATCGCTCTACAGTAATATGCGATGCATTGCCATTTATTTACATTACAAAAAGTAGCATGTGCAACTTTTTGATGCCTTAGACAAGCACATTCAAATGAATGGACTGCTCTAACACAACCTGTGTGAACGTGTCCTTATTTGTGAACCAGAAAGGTTGGGGGCAAAACTCAGCATTTAAAGAAAAAGTAGAACCACCTGTTTTGTGCAGTTTACATTGTGTGCTCAGTTTAATTGGAATTCTAGGCACCCTTATTTTTTTTTTCTTAATAAATTTAAATTTCGGGTATGTATACAAAAGTTACCTCTCCTAAAGTATTCCATTGCTAGATTTCTGTATCCTTAAAAATGATGGCTTTTGTTTACTCCTATTTGTAGTTTGGACCTGTCACCTCCATGAGAGCCACTTATAACTAGTGTCACTTTCATGCCCTTCCTTCTCTTTGCCCATTCACACTCTCTGTATTCCATGACCCATGTCAGCGAGGGACCTGGACTACAGTAAATGTAGTATCCAGTGTAAACAAAAGCGGTGTTTTTTAAGTACATACTTGAAGTATGTAGAAATTTTTAGGTAGGTCTGCTTGAGTAGTAATTTATGTATTTGACAAAAATGTACTGGTGGTATTTCAATGGGCCGTCTAGGTGGTGGGTGGAAAGGAAAGATGGCCTTGGACTGTGTAAATGATGTTTCAGTTTGAAAATTGAAGCACCACAGCAGCCGTCTAGCAATGGAATCAGGGTGGATTTGATTTAAATCAAACTGATTTAAATCACGATTTAAATCACTAGTCAGTAAGGCTTGATTTAAATCCTAGTTTTCTACATAGACTAATTCTTGCTGGTATAACTTTAATATGCAAGTAGATGAAGATTTTTAGAATAACAACTTTTCATATTAGTTTTTTTTTTATCCCCAGTTTAATAGGTTAATCATTCATATTTGGACAACTTTTCTGTTGTACTTAGGAAGGAGAAAAATAATCATTACCTTAATAATAAATTTAAATTGATTTATTCATCTGAAACAATAACATTACAGCATATGTTATTTGCTTAAACAAACATCCATGTTTGTTAACTAATTTGGCTAAACAAAATATATATATTTTAAGAAACTTAGACTGTCAGCCCCTTCCTCCTCACACTTAGCTTCACTTTCTTCTTGTGCAGATTCCACTCCAAACAATCAGAAAAATATTGTTTCTATTCTATTCACTGAACTTCTTGAAACTTAGCACTGAAGGGGTTGATTCTGTATTCATAGGTTTGTAGAAGTTAGAATTAAGGTTTTTTTCTTAACTCTGTTCATGTTATAAAATTTTTGCTGTGAAGAAGAGGCATGTGATCTCCGCTGAGTCAAATTCAGTTTTGAGAACTGTAAAGTAAACCAAACATCTGTGATAATATCTTGTAGGCAGAGAAACTGCCCAATAATCTTACAAAAACCTCTGGAAGAGCATGACATTGTGAATGGATTAATGGAATTTATTTACCAAAAAAATTAAACATATACAGCCTTATTCTACATAATTAAAAAACGAATCTTTATTTCATGATGGAATAACCTTTGGATGGTAATATATTTTCCTCAAAAAGCATTTTATTATAAAAAAAAATCCAATTTAAATAAAAAAAATCTGATTTAAATTTAAAAAAATCCGATTTAAATAAAACAAATCCGATTTTTTTTTTAAAAAAATCATTGATTTTTATCCACCTTGAATGGAATACACACTCAAGAGAGAGAACTTTTGTGTACACGCATGAAATAAAAAAGTAAAATACTGCTTGGAGTTCTGCTTTAACTCTGCCACTATGCACAGCAGAAACAAAGTAAGTGTGCTTGAGTTTCTGAGGTATAATTCATTTTTTCCTCCCTACCAAAGAGCCTTGAACATTGTTAAAAACTTCTTCAATTATTTATTTTATATTAGCATTTTGTTTGTTTTCAGATTTATGTGACATTCATGATTACATTTAAAAGACTAATAAATTTGCCATGCTGATTGTGTACACAAATTAAAATGTTAGGTTATCCTCACTCGGGAATGAATGTGAATCTTCATTCATCAAGCAGATATACAAAAGTCCATGCAGGACAACAGAAATGAAAGCCACATATCTAAGCTATAAGGGTGTCCTTACACAGGCATGTAAAGCCCAACAGTAGGAATCAAAATAATTTATCCTTGCATTGGGTCCCCTGGCACAGCAAATGTTAAATGCTTTTTATGTCTATGGGTAGAGTAATAAGAAAAAATAGACTTTATTCCTCACTCCAGCATAGTGCTCCAGCACTGTGATTGGTTCCCCATAGCTGCCTCTGTAAGCTGCAACTGGCCTTGGGTCACATTCCAGCCTCTTCAACTTACAATTCAGGGTTAATGTCCTTGTATGTGATGATGCAGAGATTCTGCTCAAAGATCAGGGCAGAGGAGGAGAGTGAGTAGACAGGTAAGTGATAGACCCTTCCCTGGACCTAATGAGCGTTTAACCATTGGAGTGCAGGGGGGGGAAGCCCACTGCATGGATGAAATTCTGGTAATCCTGGACTTGGGTTTTAACATGTCAATGTCAATAAAACATTATTTTGTATTATATGTTCATCCTTCTGTACAGTTCCCTATATTTAAAAATAATAAAAATGTTTTGATAATTTGTTTACTTTGTTAAACTTTGATTTGGATTTTTTTTATTTTTTTGTAGAATAATCAAGCTGACTTAGAGAATGCGACAGAAGTTCTGTCTGGATATTTGGAAAGGGATATTTCCCAGGATTCCCTTCAAGATATAAAGCAGAAAGTACAAGACAAGTACAGGTATGCTTCTTTTGATGCAATCTGCAATTTTCTTCTCCAACCATTAACACCTGCGCTAAAAATAATCCTCCACACTCCAGCAGCTGCATTTCACACAAAACATGTACTTGAACCATTATTACTCACAGTATACAGCACTCCTATAGTAAATCATGTGCAAATAAATTACTTATAAATTCACAATGAACAAAGTGCTATACAGTCCACATAAAGTGCAATTCTCTTTTCCCATATAAAGTGCTTCTTCCAAACTTGTGCAGTTTTGCTTTTCTTCTTCTATATGTGCAAATAAAAGTTCTCTGTACAAAAAATGGTGCAAGCAGTGCTATTGCTTCAGTACTGCCTCCAGTGTTTTATTCCACCACTCTGCACCACCGCCATTCCAGAAAACTCACCAGACAGCCATGACCTTTCATTTAACAGTTGATCTATATGCACTTAATTCCCCAATCGGATGTACCGCATCCAGGAATCCACCTTTGCTTGTTCACAGTATCACCAGGGACATCATAGAATTAGAGGGGAAAGAGACTCCAATAGTGTAAAAACCTTTATTAAAAACACTTCATACAATCACTTAAAAACATCAGCTAATGTGCTCACATTTATTGGTGCATTTCACCATCCACCCGGGATAAACCACCTATTCTCATGACGGTCTGGCTCCACTGTACCTAGTGCGAGCTTGCAGGTGTTTCTCACCACTTTGGGGTTTCTCCAGCAGGGCGGAATGACGTTACTTCCTGTAGCTCTGCCTCCACACACGGTTTGTTATAATGACCTCTTCAGTAGGTGTTGCCACACATTCAGGTAACGCTTCCTCAAAAGTAATTTATTTGCACATGATTCACTATAGGAGCGCTGTATACTTAAGGTAATCTGTAATTTTCTGTAGCATGCAATATTGTTATACACTGTGTGTTGGTCTGCTTTAATGTATTCTGGCACATATAACTAAACACATTGCTTTTATGAAAACTATATGTCTTGTTTTGTAATTCTTTGTAACTCTCAGCATGAGGCAGCCATCTTCAGGCTGACTGTGCTTCTGAGAGAGTTTTGCTAAGCACACACATGCATTATCCAAAGGTTTAGGTATACAGGTGTCCATTAACAAATATGTATAATTGGAAAAATGCTTGGGGACGGAAATTTTGAAATTGGTATACATGCCTAATAAAGGAGCACACTGTCACAAACACTATTGTATTCTGATATCTGTCAGGGTGAATACATAAACCAATAGGAATCATATTTTTTTTTTACATGCTTACAAGCCATAGTGTGCCTGTTAATTGGTAATAAGTGGTTGCAAATGAATATGTTGAAGTTGCTGCAGTGCCAGCAAAAAAAAGAATGCACAATTTTGCACTGGTGGCAGATGTATAAGTGCACATTGGTGAAGTGTCAATCAGTGCAGACGTGCATGTCAGTGTATTGACAGTATGTGGAAAAAATGCATGTTGGTGCAGTGTCAATGACTGCAGAATTGCACATCAGTGTAGTGGCAAGTGCAAAATAACACGTCTGAGTGTCGTGAATGTGGATTGTAATATGGACTAAAGCTTTCAACTGGAGTAGAATCTCCATGAAATGAGTTTACATCTGCCACAAATTAAAGTAGTCCCTCATACATGATTGTGCCCCAGATCTTCCCCTGTCATGTAAAGCAGCCTCAGAATTACCCTCTCTATGAAGCAGTCACCAGAATTACCCCCAGCCTCCATCTCCCATCCACAATGAGCTAAATGAGTATCAAACAAAATGTGTTTAACCACTTCAACCTGGTGATGTCATATGATGTACACCCAGGAAGAAGTAATTATACTGGGATGATGCCTGCAGCTACCAAATTTTTTCAGCTGGCAATGCCCTTTCTTGTGTAAGTGATTTGAGTGGCTATACAGCCACTCAACCCCTTCTAAAGGAGGTGCCCCCCCTCCTGCCACCACCACCTCCTTTCCCGGACTCTCCTGTCCCAGCCCAGGACCGCAGCAGCTGAAGGCATCCTATACACTGCACAGAGAGAGAGAGGAACTGACATTGTCCCTCCCTTCCTGTGACACCTGAAACTGGAAATGATGAGGATTCCCTCACTTCAGGTTTCAGTTCTGTGTCTACTGGACAGTCAGTTGCCAGTAAAGAAGCCAATCAGACTGATCTGCGTCTGGCTGCATTGGAGGCCAGAGGAGGGCTCTGGGGTCTTATAGACCACTGATCTTTCCATAAAAAGGACCCGTCACATGCTATCACAAACGATGTTGTTCATTCTTTGTGATAGAAAGTTTATGAAAAAAAATTTAAGGGAGAGTGTTAAAAAAAAAAAAAAAAAAAAAAGTTAAAAAATATGTAAAGCTCCCCTGTTCAGTCCAGCACACGTGAATGGTGATCACACCACACATGTGAATGGTGATCACACCACATGTGAGGCATCATCGTAAACATCAGAACAGGAGCAATAATTCTAGCACCAGACCTCCTGTGTAACTCCAAACTGGTAACCTGTAAAAGCATTTACAGCGTTGCCTATGGAGATTTTTAGGTACTGTAGTTTGGTGCCGTTTCACGGACGTACACAATTCTAAAGCATGACATGTTAGATACACTATATTGCCAAAAGTATTGGGACGCCTGCCTTTACATGAACATGAACTTTAATGGCATCCCAATCTTAGTCCGTAGGGTTCAATTTTGAGTTGGCCCACCCTTTGCAGCTATAGCGGCTTCAACTCTTCTGGGAAGGCTGTCCACAGGGTTTAGGAGTGTGTCTATGGGAATGTTTGACCATTCTTCCAGAATTACATTTGTGAGGTCAGGCACTGATGTCTGATGAGAAGGCCTGGTTCATAGTCTGCGCTCTAATTCATCTCAAGGTGTTCTATCAGGTTGAGGTCAGGACTCTGTGCAGGCCAGTCAAGTTCCTCCACCCCAAACACGCTCATCCATGTCTTTATGGACCTTGCTTTGTGCACTGGTGCGCAGTCATGTTGAAACAGGAAGGGGCCATCTCCAAAGTGTTCCCACAAAGTTGGAAGCATGAAATTGTATAAAATGTCTTGGTATGCTGATGCCTTAAGAGTTCCCTTCACTGGAACTTAGCGGCCAATCCCAACCACTGAAAAAAAAAAACCCACCACCATACTTCACACTTGGCACAATGCAGTCAGGCAGGTACTGTTCTCCTTGCAATCGCCAAACTCAGACACGTCCATGGGACTGCCAGACAGAGAAGTGTGATTCTTCACTCCAGAGAACAGGTCTCCGCTGCTCTAGAGTCCAGTGACAGTGTGCTTCACACCACTGCATCCGACGCTTCGCATTGCAGTAAGGCTTGGATGCAGGTGCTTGGCCAAGGAAACTCATTCCATGAAGCTCTCTACACACTGCTGTTGTGCTAATGTGAGGCCACACAAAGTTTTGAGGTCTTTAGCTATTGACTCCGCAGACAGTTGGCGACTTCTGTGCACTGTGCGCTTTAGCACGCGCTGACTCCGCTTTTGTTATTTTTCGTGGCCGAGTTTCTGTTTTTCCCGGTTGCTTCCACTTGTAATAATACCACTAACAGTTGACCGTGGAATATTTGTTAGGGAGTAAATTTCATGGATGGACTTATTGCACAGGTGGCAACCTATCGCGTTACCACGCTTGAACTCACTGAGCTCCTGAGAGTGACCCATTCTTTCACAAATGTTTGTAGAAGCAGTCTGCATGCCTAGGTGCTTGATTTTATACACCTGTGGCTATGGAGGTGATTGGAACACCTGAATCCAATGATTTGGAGGGCTGGTTCCAATACTTTTGGCAATATAGTGTATCTATTTACTCGGCGCAACATAATCTTTTATATTTAAAAAAACAAAAATGGGTATTGTGTTTATGTACACTAAACAGTGTATTTTTTCCTCCCAATAAAAGATTTGAAAAATTGCTGCACAAATAGTGTGCGACATAAAAAAATGAAATACCTACCATTTAATTCTCTAGGGCATCTGCTTAAAAATACATATGTTTAACCCCTTGGCACTGGCGCCTCCCAGCCCTTTAAGTGTTTCAGAAGCCAGGAGGTGGGGCGAGGCTTGAGGGTCATGTGACCGCCGTGATTTGCCGTCACGGCGGTCACATGATCGGGAAAGGTCCCAATCAAAAGAGAAGATCGGGACCTTTCCGTGAGTACTGGACATGTGTGCTGGGAGCGCGCAGGGCGCGCGCTCTCAGCACATATGTTTTTCTTAATTGCACACACGTGTGGCCGCTCGGCGTCTAGGCCCAGACACCGGGAGGCCGCAAATTTGCGTGCGGCCGGCGTGTGAAGAGCTTAATGTTTGGGGATTTTTAGTAATTTTCTAGCAAAAAATGCTAATTTTTACATGTAGGAGAGAAGTGTCAAAATTTGTCCAGTAGGCAAGTAATGTTTTATAGTTTTCTTTCTAAAGCAGCTACTGTCTGAGCAGAATAGCCTGTCACTTGCCAGCTCCTGCACAATGGGGTCCTTGCTCTGTGGGGAGGGGGTGATCTCGCTGCATAAGTCTGGAACTCCTATTGTGCATCATAGCCAAAACTTTCTACTCGGCAGAAAGAATAAGCTTTTCTGATTGCAAAGCTATAGGTCTGTCTCAGCAGGGGACGTGTCGACCTATGTAGAAGGATCAGTCCTTCCCCACAGTGAACAAGGGTACCACCATGCAGCTGCTGGCAGGGGGCAGGCTTTTCTATTCAGGCTGCAGCTGCCTCAGAAAGAAAATTAACCACTTACCCTCCTGAGGATTTAACCCCCTTCCTGACCAGGCCATTTTTTGCGTTACGTCGCTGCGTTACTTTGACTGACAATTGCGCGGGTCATGCAACGCTGCACCCAAATGTAATTTACGTTGTGTTTTTCACATGAATTGAACTTTCTTTTGGTGGTATCATAAACCTTTTCAATAATCTACATAAACACACACCCTCTCCCGCAGTCTCATACTGCTACCATAATGTCCATAATAAAGTCCCAAATTCAAAATTGAAAATCCAAAAAATAAAATAAAAAAAATAAAAATAATAATAAAAAAATATAAAAATTATAGTCCTCGCTCTCCAATCTTCCAACTGTGAAAATGTCCAAATCTTCCCTTCAATCCAAAAGCACCTCAAAGAAATAAACTAAATATAGTGCATTATCTTTTATAAAAATTGTAGGTGATATCATGCAACCACACTGGTGATGTAAATATACTAATAAATAGGCATCACACATGTGAAGTGAAAATCAACACACCACTTCACTAGTGGTCCTGTGAAACAACCACTGCAATACGTGAAATGCCACAAATACACAATAAGTGATCAGTGAAAAATTGTGCCAAAAATAAGTGCCACCACTCTGCATATAGGATAATATACAATTACCCTCTTTCTGCTTTCAAAGCATTCTGAAATCCCCTTATGCCAGATAGAATTGCCTTCACTGGGAGTATGCTTTCCTTTAATAGGAGTACACAATGGAATCCCCTCCTCATGCAGCAATGGGCATCGGGATCCCCGTTCCTCACAGGACAGATAGGAGCAGACTCAGTGGAGTAATATATATAATATACACAATATATTTAGCAGCTTACATTATACAAAATACCGCCCATCCTCGATTTAGTCCGTTCTATGCTGAGACCACCTCAAAATGGCCGCGCTGCTCCTTCCGGCTTAGCGTCTGACGTCACAACCCTAATTCAATGCTTTGTGGTAATCTTCCCACTCCACTCTTCATGCAAAAACCAGTGTGCAGTGTGCGTGATTCACACGTGCCAATCCTTTAGCGGCCAAAATGCCCCCTCACCTCCTTACTTAGACCCCACAGGGCCAGCACGCTTTAAGGATCAAACGATCCTATCAGACTGGAATCCTCTCTGGGTTTCGCCTTCCACCTCCATCATCCACCAGACTAGCAGCCAGCTCCTCCCAGGGTCATAGTGAAACACAAACAGAGACCCTCCATAGTGCAATCAGTTTTATTATGCAATAAACAGATACAGATAGAGTTCCACTCACATTGGCCGCTAAAGGATTGGCACGCGTGAATCACGCACACTGCACACTGGTTTTTGCATGAAGAGTGGAGTGGGAAGATTACCACAAAGCATTGAATTATATATTTTTTATCAATTGTTCGGACTTTTTTTGCAACTGAATATTGGTTCACTTATTTTGACCTCTGTACGTTTTTTGCCACTATATTGTTTTATGTTTATATTTGTCACCTTTTTGCACTAGATATTCCCTATGAGGGATTACACGCATGACACTTATATAATTATTGATGAGTTTGGATATATACTCCTAGGGGGTGTATATTGAGTATATTTATTGAGTTTATTTATTGTATCACCTATTCACTGGATATTTATATATATATTATTTATTAGCGCTGCACTGTTTTAATTGACTTGGTGTCATTGACATCCCCAATGTCACCAATACAGTGATCAGCGCTAAAAAAAAGCGCTGACACTGTACTAATGACACTGGGCAGGAAGGGGATAATATGAGGGGCGATCAAAGGGTTAACTATGTGTAGGGAGTGTTTACTAGGGGGCGGGGCATGTGTACTTCACTGTAAGCATACTGCTCTGGATGGCTGTGCTGTGCCACCTGAGCCATCTAGAGCAGTGTGCCTGAGCCAACGGAGGAAAACTCTTAGTAAACAAAATAGCCTTTCTCCCCGTTGGAGATGCTCGGTAATCACTGGGTGGCGGTGGGTAATTAGCAGCCGGGACCCGTTGATTGAGAGCTGCAGCCGCGAATGGCGGCACAGGTAGGGCGCATGCGCCCCCTACCTGGAAATGCAAAATCACGTATATATACCTGATTTTGTGCACCCCTGCCGCCCTGTGGCAGTTTATCTGCTATAGGGCAGCGGGAAAGTGGTTAACACCTTTTGTTTTGATGCTCATATTTGGCTGACATGAACTGAGAGTCTAGTAAGGCTTTAGCCATGAAATTAGTGAAAGTCCAATCCCAGTAACACACTGAAATTAAATCCAAGAAGGATGACACAAAAGAAACTTGCCTCATTAATTAGTGTAATAGCAGGAACCTCATTGTGTCTGCAAGGCAGAATGTCTACTTTTAAAGGTTTAAAATAAATACTACTTTAACTACTTAACTACCATTGTGCGTTTTAAAATGGTGTAGTGATGGACATATTTTTCTGGAGTGCTGTTTATAAACAGCATTTCAGAAAATGCACATGGTCAGGCAGTGCACCTATAAAGAGCTGTGATCTGAGCCACTGTTAGACCGCACAGATCACAGCATAACTTACAGAGCCTATGGGAGTGAATCTGTACCTTGTGGTCACGGTGATGATCAATTACAATGATCACAGATGTAAACATTTGATGATGCCTTGTATCTTGTGCTCTATTACCAAGCTCTGTATTTTAACCACTTCAGTATCGGCATGTTTCTTAATTTCCAAAAAATTGTGACAAAAAATTAGATCATCTTTGAGGTGTCTTTACAAAACACAGCTGTTTTTGTGGGGGTAATTTATACTGTCCTGGTATTTTTGATGTTTTATAACAGAACTTAAGGGAAAACGACAATTATCACTTTCAGAAAGAGGTATATTACTTTTGTGACTTTTTTTGTAAATGTTGATTCAGTAATAACTACTTTGTTCTGCTTGCTTTTTCAGATACTGTGAGAGTAGGAGGCGGGTTCTGCTTCTTCATGTGCACGAAGGTTATGAAAAGGACTTGTGGGAATATATTGAGGACTGAGCCGTTTCCACAGACCAACCTCTGGTTGCCACCTGACACTAGATTTCAATGCCCATTAAAATGCAAATATGCGCCCTGAGGCCGACCCTGCACATTTTGCCGTCTCCCTTTTCCCTCTCTTGCTCTCATCTCTTGCGCTCCTGCCAGACTTTTGGTTTATTTTTATTCCTTTTTTTGTTTTGTTTTTTGAAAGTTTAAGTAAATTATATTGTGATAATAAAAGGAAAGCAGCTAGCAGAGGCAATGGTTTGACAGTATTGTAGGCATGTTTAACCCCTTGGCACATTGTGACTGGCAAAGCCTTGATCTTGGAAAAATGTCTGACAAAAATAATGCTGGTCCCTTTTGTTGCTAAGGTGTTAAAGTGTGTACAGCCCCTCAGCTATTTGCGAATGCTTCTTCCTAACTGGCTTGCCATAATCAAGCTGATTTCCCTTCCACTGCCTTCTACAGAAAGGCAGACCTCCCTTCCACACCCTTCCCAGTTGTCCTTTCAACCTATGTCTTCTTCTGTCCTGCGTTTTACAAGTCTTTTGTCTTGCCACTGTTTAGCCATCCTTCTCTTTTCCTATTGTCTTCAGACTATCCCTGGCGCCTTTTCTTACCCTGGGTTGGAGCTGAACAGCTTTGAAAATTTGAAAAAAAAAAAAAAATAGAAGAAAAATAAAAAATAGCTTTGTACATGACTTTTAAAAACGAAACAAGATTAAACTGAACAGAAGACAGCAGTATTTTTCAAACCTGTAAATAGTGCATCTGCATGAGCAGGGAGGAGGTGGGACGCACGGTGTTTGCATCATGTTTAAGTACAAACAGAAAAAAAAAAAAAATATTTATTCTTTCTTGATGATTGCTGGTTCTGGTTGTGCTGTTTATTCCTGAGATCTTGTAGAGTGGACACAGTGTAGCTTTCTAGTGGATAATAATTCCCTGAAATCTCTGTGCACAATACAAGATCATCTAGTGCCATTCACATTGACAAACTGTTATACTTGGATTTTTAAATGTCTGTGCATACAGAAGACCAAAACACGAGTTATGCTCACATTCAGAAGAGCACAAAGAATCCATCTGTTTTCCATTCTAACTCCAAGGAGTGAATTCAAGCTGCAGCTTTTGCACTGAACTTGGCCAGGTTGGCTGAAGCAGAAATATATACACAAATGAGGCTTTGTACAGAAGGATGGATGCCTGCTCTACATTAGAAGTTTATTCATTTTTGCTTCTCTATCGAATGATTGGAGTGTTTGTGGTGGGGGGAATGTTTTTTCTTTTTGCTGCAGTTTTCCTTCAGCTCTGTGAAAGTTTTAAGAGGCGTTGTAAAGTATAGATAAACAAAATATGCATACTTTTTTGCAATAAGGATTTGAAGAAATATTTGAGAAACTTGAAGAGTGACACAACAAGAAAAAAAAAATACATGTTTTTATCATACCAGGTTCTGACTGTAAGTTATGGCAAAAATTCTCATTTGTGCAGTATTTTTAAAAGGACTCATTTGAACCTGAGTTGTTGGCAATTGGTTGGTATGTTAGTGGAACCGCCATATATCTCAGGCTTGGTCCTCCACGTGAAAAGTGATACAGTAATGTAACTAGACAAAACACCTAATTTGCAAAGCCATGGATTACTGCACTGCCTTATAAAAAAAAAAAAATTAGCATAATTGAGTTTAAAATTGAATGTTGTCAAGTGATTGAAACTGTAGCTAAAGTCATTAGAAAGCACAATGATATCACTCCTATAAGCCAAATTAGCAAATGGATTGTATGTTAGGCTTCACATACAGGATTTTGACCAAGTCGCGCTATGATCTGTATTTTTGTGTGTCTGTACAGTTCCTGCCACCTGGTAACAAGGTTTAATGTCCAAACACATGGTGTGCAAAAAGGCCCACATCCTATAGGATTTGCTACAGAACGCTGTTGTTGCTAACAGAGAAGCTGAATACCTTCAGCGTCTCTAGGGTAGGTTTAGTCTTTTTGGTTCTCCAAAACCTGCTAAATTGTAAGGAAGCCTTAAATAGTCACGCTTATCTCTGGTCACCTTCAGTGTGTGTGTGTATAAGCACCAGCTTGAAGTAATGAGGTGATAGTGTGTCCCTGCCCCTCCTTATTGGCTTATTACTGTTGTTAGAAGCATTGCTGGCCAATAGTGAGACACGGCATAGGAAGATGGTGCGGCTATGAAACTTAACATCCCATTACTGAATTCCCGAGGATTCCTTATGCTAACAAGGGACCTGATGTATAGGTACCTAGCAGTGCCGGTTATGTGCTGGATTTAGGTAAGTTTATAATAATTCAGGTATCTTTCCTCCACTTTCCTCCTAGGAAGTGTTGGCATGACGAAAGAGATTACTTACTGCAATACCAAGCACGCTGTACTACTTTAATCAGGTAAACACTGACTGCCAAGCCTGGACACTATAGGCATATAAGTGCCAACATGCCTACTCTAGTACTTGAAACTAAAGTCACAATGAAAATGAAAACAAAGACATAGTTTGGACTGCACTGAACTGAATGTGCCTTTGTATCTCTTGGTGAAACTGCTTTTGTTTCCTGGAGTTCGACGATTACTTAGCTATTCTACCTTCTGTCAAGGCATATACTAGCATGTTAGCAAGGGGTCAGGATTTCAAAAAATTCTAGCAGAAAACAAAACTAAACTACCATCTAGAGATAGTAAGCTTTTCTTGCTTTTTTTTTTTTTTTTTTTTTTTTTTTTTTTTTTTTTTTTTTAATAATCTGTGTTCACACTTTAATGTATGCTAAACACCTAAAGTTACATTCACCTTTTCACCATGCTCTCTAGGAGATGCATAGCCCAGCAAACCACTAATGTGCAAATGGCAATTTGTTTCTGAAATTATACATGACCCCATATTATAGCTACACTGGCTTGGTGTTGTTGGCAAGCTCTTCAACGTATGTGACCATACATGGTTGACACCATGCTGTACTGGCTCGCTGTCAAATAACTAGCGAAAGAAAAACTACATGCAAGTGCTCTTGCTATGCTAAACTGAAACCCAATGGATGCTTTTAATTACATTTGGCACATTACCCTTTGTACTAAATGATATTTATTATTTCCTTTTGGAAACTGGACTATTCAGAAAGTTGTGAGTTTTGTTGAACTGCCAGAGGCCAAAGCACTTGACAGCAGCTCTAAAGGAAACCTATAATGAGAGAAATACATAGGCTGTCATTGTTTGACCTCTGAAATGCTAGTTTGTGTGGCTTTATTGCTGAGTCAAAGGAATTTATATTTTCCAAGTCACTGACGTGGGGAAGAGCGCAAACAGTGTGTCTGTCAGGAAGGAAATGGACAACAGGAGCTACATGCTGTAGCTACAGGTGTGTGCTAATTGGTTAAGGAAAAGGAATCATTCATTCCACTGGTCGTGATGGGATGGGGTGTGCAGCAATTGTATGTCAATCCCCTGTGACATCACTGTACTATGCTGTCATCAAATTGGACACAAGGATGATAACCATAACCTATATAGGAAGTGGAGTAGGCTTGGCCAGATGAAAGGGCTTTTTTTTTCCCCCTGTCCCTTATGATACAAAATAAATGTAGAACCTTGTACCATGTTTCTAGATGCTTTCAACCCCTAGTTAAGATGGCCAACCTGACCCCTCCTTTCCTACCACAGCTGATCTGGCAACCACAATAAGAAAACTGCTGATTAATAGTTGCAGCTTGGGCAAGTGCTCACAGCTAAGATAAGCTTTGGCTATGAATCGGCCATCTTTCATAGCTGTTGTCCCATCAGCTGCCGCAGAAGGGAAGGGCGAAGGATGGACTTTATAACTAGAGAGAGAAAGTACTTCGAAAGTAGGATGATGAGTATACTACATGTCTTTTGTCCCAAAGGGGCAGAGCTGTTAAAAAAAAAAAATATATATATATATATATACATACACACATAGCCAAATTCCTAAAAAGGTGGGATGCTGTGTAAAATCTACATAAAAAGAAGAATGCAATAATTTGCAAATCTCATAAATCCATGTATTTTTCAAATCGAAAATATATCAAATGTTTAAACTGAAAAAAATACAATTTAAAGAAAAAAATATGGTAATTTTGAATTTGATGGCAGCAACACATCTCAAGAAAGTTGGGACAGGACAACAAAAAGCTGGCAAAATACAACCCCATTTCTAAAAACGTTGAGACTGGACCACGGTGTAGCATTCCTTCTTCTTTTAACAACATTCTGCAAACGTCTGGGAGCTGAGGAGACCAGTTTCTTGAGTTTTAGGAGAGGAAAGTTGTCCCATTCTTGCCTGAACATATGCTGCTCTAAAACCTGGATATATTTTTCAAGATTGGTGCCTTTCCAGATGTGCAAGCTGCCCATTACATACATGCTAACATACCCCCATACCATCAGAGATGCAGGCTTTTAAACAAATCTCAGATTTCAATTTATCTGACCAAAGAACAGTTTTCCACTTTACAACAGACCATTTTAAATGAGTTTTGGCCCAGAGAAGACTGCAGAGTTTCTGGATCATGTTCAGATATGGCATCTTCTTTGCATAAGCTTTACCTTGTATTTTTGGATGGCACAATGAACTGTGTTCACAGACCGTGAATGTTGGAGGTATTTCTAAGCCCATGCAGTTATGTCTCACAAAATCATGCCTGTTTTTAATGCAGTGCCATCTGAGGCCCTGAAGATCAGGAGCATCCAATATTGCATTTCAGCCTTGTCCCTTTCTTCAGATTCTGATAATCTTTTGATGATATGTACTGCAGATGATATATTTAGCCCTGGTTCAAACGTGTCACAATTTCTAATTTGCATTCAGTGTGGAGAGCATGATTTCAATGCCGCAGATCAGTGCGATTTGTACCTCTGCTTTCACTGTGGCTTGCAACTTCATTAACAGACATCTGTGCAAGTCGCTATGAAAGCAGTAAAAAGTAGTATAGGAACTTTTTTGAAATTGCGGTATGTAAAATCGCATTAAGACAGTGCT